CTACACAATTCGCGCGGAAGGCACCAAGGCACATCTCGACAAGCTGATAATACGAGCCTGGCTAGCTCGCAAAAACAACGCAGCAAAAGGCTTCGCGAAAACATGCTAGCGCTCCATCCAGCCATCCATAACAGCTATCTCCTTTTACACAAGGCTTGCTTGGTGGCACGAGTACCAAGTGTGACCAGTCCAGAGTTTAGGAACGGAGTTCTCGATTGCATGCTTTCGATGATTTTTAAAATAGAATACACCGGCGGATGGGAAACATACGTAGATGCATCCCTACACATGACAGAATGTGCGAAAGGGGAACAAACACCTCATGCCACTTTGAGTGGTGACTGCAGAACAGACAGCGCAACTTTTACTCTGAGGACATATCAAAAGATACAGCGATCCATTATGTGCGATGCTTCATAACATTCATTAAAATAACGTGTGGGCAGAGCGGGTACGGGAGAGGGACGAAAACTATATTCCTCGCCCACAGCACGCTTCAATTTCAGTGTTTGACAACTTTTTGTGACATTTGTGTCATACATTCAGGGGCCGAGGCAAACGGCCGGGCGTCAAGGCCCAGCACAGAGCTGCAAAGCTGTGGCGACGCTGCTCACCGCGGGCGCCACAAGAAGCCACTTTACACCCACCAAGCCAGGCGTCGAGCACCTCGGCTCCGTACCGTCACCGTCACGGCGTGAGCTCGGCCGGCGCGAGCGGCGCGGCCGCTGCGGGGCGTCACCTGACGGGCTGAACAGAACAGAACAGAACGGGGCTGAACAGAACAGGGCGGCAGCCGGGTGGCTGGCTGGTTACCGAGCTCCGCAGCTGACCGCCGGCTGATGTTCGGGCTCCCCCACCGGCGTCAGCCGAAAACACACCAGGCGATCGGACAGCGTTCGCGCGTCCCACCGGCCTAGTGGGTCAAAGCGCTTTTCCCCTCCCCCCCCCCCCCCGACTGACACACACACACACACGCGTGGATGGGTGAGTTCGAGTCGACTCAGGCACTGGCTTTCTTCCCCTGACTGGTTTGGCCTGCGCCCAGTGGCAGCAGCTGCGCTAAAAGATCAGGCACGTCAAAGCGCGCGAAGGACCGAGACGACCATGACGCCTCGCCACCCAACTCTGCCGCTGACTCGACATTCTACGGCCGGATGTTGGGATCAGGGCTCGCGCAATCCGCACAGCTAGGCGTGGGCGGGGATCCCAGGAATGCGTCACATCAACAGCATCAGACGAAATCTTAAAACGATTACGCTTGCTCGGTCGATGGCCATGTCATGCGGGGGAGTTCCTAACGTTCCTCGAAGCCCGGTCGGCGCGGCTGACCATTCGCATCGCACCGAGTCACCCCCTCCGACGTCCGACGGCCAGCCGTCTGGCACCCGAGCCAGCCCGACAGCCGACAAAAACTCCGCTGGAACACGACGCGGCCGCGCCAGCAGCCACTGACCCGCATCAGCACCAGATCGACCCCGCCTTAATGCGGTCGTTCGCCCCACATGTCCGAGGCCAGGGTCGGGCTTGGCGGGGGTGCCGAGACCAGGCTCACTTCCGGCCAGCGCCGGCGCACGTGCGCCGAGTGTGGTGTCACGAGCCCGCACGTACGCCAGTCCTGCCGCCGCTGCCGTGTCGCTGCGCTCAGGCACGCCGGGCGCACGGAGCCGTGCTGACGCTTGGAGCGCCATGCTGGGTCAGACCAAACGCGACCCAGACGCGGCGCGCGTCCGCAGCTCACAGCCGCCGCCGTTGATCCCGGATGCGAATGACGGGCGCGCGGCCGGCGCGCTGGCGTCAGCGCCGCCGGCACCGGCAGCCGGCATTGCTAATCCGCACGGCCGTCGCGCCGACCGGCCGACAACCGAGCCTGCGCATCAGAAGCGATTATCCCCACGCGCGCTGCCCGGCCCAGTCGACGCTGTGACGCGCCCCGCCGGCACAGCATCTGCCCGGCCGCTGGTCTGCGCGTCCGCTCGCCGTCAGCGCCATCACGCCTCGCTACCGGGAGGCCATCTCGCCGTCAGCGCCATCATGCCTCGCTACCGGGAGGCCATCTCGCCGTCAGCGCCATCACGCCTCGCTACCGGGAGGCCATCTCGCCGTCAGCGCCATCACGCCTCGCTACCGGGGGGCCATCTCGCCGTCAGCGCCATCACGCCTCACTACCGGGAGGCCATCTCGCCGTCAGCGCCATCATGCCTCGCTACCGGGGGGCCATCTCGCCGGCGGCGCGCGGCCTCCGGCCAGCAAACTCGGCGGCCCGGCGGCGGCCGGAGCGGGCGCGCGGTGAGCCGGACGGCGGAGACCAGGCGGCGGCGCGCCTGCTCCCGGCGGCGGTCGGCCTCGGTCGCCCGCTGATTTATCGGACCGGAGGGGCGAGCGGCGGCTGACGCCAGCGCGGCCGTCAGCCCGCCGGTCGCGGCGGGACGGCGGCGGATGTGGCACCGGCCGCGGTCGGCGACCGCGGCCCGAGCACAGCGCCGAGATCGCGGCGCCGGCGCGCTGACGGCCTCGTCCGAGGACGAGTGGAAGCCGCAGCCCGCGGGAGCTCACCGAGCGCACTCCGCCGCCACTGCAACATTTCAAACGCTTAAATAATACCCCCCCCCCCCGACCTCATCTACAGACGGCAGCTCCCGCTGGGGCTGGGCGCCGCCCGACCGACGCGGCCATCTCGGCGCTCGTTCGGGCGACAAAGGCGGCGCGCATCGGCCCGCCCGACGCAATTTACGACTCCCGGGCCGGACCCGTAGGCGACGTGCTGGCCGGACTCAACGCACCTGGCCGGGCCTCGCCTGGCCGCTCTCGTGCCTGCACGTCCGCCTGGCGGCCGCCGCTCCGGACGGATGACGCCCACGCCCGCCGAGCCCGACTGACGCGTCCATTTCGTCGGGAACATTCTACGGTGATCATCAGCGCGGGCCTCACGGCCGCGCTGATGGGAACGCGGGTCGTCAGCGCGACACCGTTGAGCGTCCCCAGAAAATACCCAATTGGACATCGTCCTCATATGCATATATGCATCTCCACTCGGCCCGTCGTTCCGTCAGTCTCACGGTCGCCCAGCCTGAGCGGCCGCAGGAGCCCGGTTTAGGGTCTCACTGCGCCGTCGCTGCGGCGTCGGGGGCAGCGCAGGATTTCCATGGAAAAATATTGCACCACTTACAATTCCCCCTCAGTCCCTCAGCTCCGCAATGGTCGGAGCTAACGGAACGATTTCTAACTGAACAGAAGAAGGCGAGCACTCGGCACTCGTCCGAACATCTGAGATGACGCCCACCGCCAACGTTGCGGAGCAAGCGTCAGACACCGGTCCGATATTCGGCTTGGACCGATGGCTTGTGCCGAGCATGTGACTTGAACACATACTCCTAGCGGTTCGGCCAGGCCGCCTCGGACACTGGCGCGCTTGAATGCAAGTGCCATAGGCGGTGTGGTTTTGCCGTGGCCAACAGTCTGCGGGCTGGCGTGGCCTACGTGGCTTGGAGTAAACGGCCGCCAGCAATGCGGTCTCCGACGCCGCTGACCATATCTCCAGGCATCTATCGTGCCCGCAGCCACGTGCGCTGAACTACGGGGACAACAACGAGCACAGAGCACACAAGATGCGACCGTGCCTGTTCTGTTCAGTTTGTGTGGTGTCCACCTTGGCTAGAAATCCAACACAATGTGTCGTAAGGGTCGTCGACCACGGGAGGATCTCTACTTTAGCAAACCAAGGCCAATACTCGGCACTCGTCCCAACATCTCCCGCCGCCGCCAAAAAATTCAGCAATGTTTTAACTTCCCCACCGCGGGCCTGGACTCATTCGGCGACGAAAACGAGGTTAAGAGCAAATGAGGAGGTCGTGAGAGGAAGGTGCACCACTCTGGGTGGCCGGGGTGGGCTCTTACCGGGAATAACCCACTGTCCAGTGGTGCTCACATTTAGAGTCTGAAGATCTGTTGAAAAGTTTCAAAGCAGCGACGAGGTCCGCCGGATATCGTAAACTAACTCAGCTATACACCGAGACAACTACAAGACCATCGCTTCTGCGAAAGCACCGAAGAACAGCCGGCGGCATTTCCTGAATGGTTGGCCGAGACGCGGCGCCAGGCCGAGCCGGACCGGCGCGCGGAGGAAGCCGGCGCCGCCACCACCTCTGACCAGACGTCCGGACCGGCGACAGGTGTGAGAGCGAGCCCGGAGCGGCCCACCGCCTCTCACCGACACATGGCTGCCGCCGGGAGCCAGACGTCCGGACCGGCGACAGGTGTAAGAGCGAGTCCCGGAGCGGCCCACCGCCTCTCACCGACACATGGCTGCCGCCGGGAGCCGGACGTCCGGACCGGCGACAGGTGTGAGAGCGAGTCCCGGAGCGGCCCACCGCCTCTCACCGACACATGGCTGCCGCCGGCAGCCGGGCGGCGCGCTGATCAGTGCCAGGGACGGTACGCCAACACATGGAGAACGGAAGCCCGGGGCACAGGTAACGCTGGTCGGCGCGCGACACTAGCCACTACCACTAACGATGCAGGACAGGCAATAAAGGATGAACGCTGGCGAACAGAAAATAAACGAGCAACGCTGGACAACAGGACATACAAGGAACAAATAAAGCCGGTAGGCGCATTCGGTGGGGAACAGGGAGACTACCAGCATAGCGCGTCAGAGGGCAACGACAGAATGAAAGCCTGGATATACACCATAAATAAAAGGCAACCAGTTGAATTCAGTGTTCGACGATGAGGACTAGCCCCGCCAGCCGTCACGTCCCACCTAACGCGCAAAGAGCAGGTTCCGGGAGCCATGCCCGTGCCACGGGCATGGCCACGGCCCCCCGTGGCGGCCGTGGCCTATGTGTGCCAAGATCATGTATCACCTTTTTATCGAAGCCATTCCCGCCGAGGCGGCGGTCCAGCGGCGCCGCACAATGCAGCCGTCCGGCCCAGCCGACGGCGGCTCGGCGGCCGCGCCTCCCGCCGCCCCCCCCCCCCCCCCCCCTCCCCCCGGCGCTCACCTGAGAGCAGCAGGGTGTGGCTCGACTTGCCGTCGGGCACCTTGTCCGAGCGCTCGCACGCCTGCATGCCCATGAACTGGCTGATCTGCTTGACTGCCTGCTCCAGGGTCTTCATGGCCGACAGCGCGTACGTGTCCTCCAGCTCGTTCTGGTCGCCTGCCGGTCGCGGGGGCCGGTCAGAGGGGGGGGGGGATGTTCTGGGTCAGCAGGGTCATTGGTAGGGAGGAAAACCAGCAAGCCGAAGACTAGCATACTTTTATTTTGTACTGCATTCATGTACGGGATACTTGGCCCAAAACCATGTGATGTGGAAAGTGAGACGCAACACATAACGATGACGATGAAATGATGCGACTACGGATATTTCTAAAGGGGGCAGCGACCACAATCATTCGCTTATGCCAACACTATGGCACAATGGCACAAAGCACGATAGCGCCCTGACGCATGACATCACAGATGTGGCTGGGAAGCCACAGCATGAGGACAAGGCGGAGTACAAACATCGCGACGCTGGTCTAAAGTGTCACACCACCATCTGGCGACTACCAGCACGACACGAGCACGCGTCCAGCCAGCACGCTTCTGAACCCGACACAGGAGAACGGACGCGGACGCGAGTATTTTCGCTCCGATCTAAGCGTAGACGCGATGACGGCACGCCCATCGGCGCACAGGCTGCTGGCTGGTCAGCATCAGCGCAGCGCCGGTAGAACGCGGCTACGTGTGTGCGTCGGAGCCCGCGGAAGACCGTAACACAACAAGAATACGCTGCAATTCGACCAAACTCCTCAATGGCACATATTAACGGGAAAAAGAATCCTGCAACTTCCATTTAAAAACTGGAAACTGTGAAGCGTGGCGAGCAAAAACGTCGTTGTTTTACTTTATAGAACTATCTACAGGAGCACACTGATTGAAGTATCAAATATTGAAGTCTAAAACCGCCAACGCCTTAGGTCTTCCCTAACCACCCGAAGGATTGCGTGTGGTATTCATTACCGAACTATAACCACTTGCACCAATAACTTTTGCAGCCCGGTCGCCCTGGCCGCTGCCGCACCACCATGGTCTTCCCCTTGAGCCATCGCATCGGCGGTGAAAGTGTGGCGGTGACAACGGCGACGCGTCAGCCACGCTTCGGTTACCTTCCGGACTTGGCAGCCGATGTTCCGGCCATTCCACGTCTGTCTCAACATACACTGGCGTCGTGTCATTCCGCTGCCAGGGGTGGGCGCTGGAGGAGGCTTGAGGTAGCGACACGCCCGGCGGGCGTGCCCACAGTTCGCACCAAACACCATTGGCCGCAGCTCTCGTCCGTCAGCGCCAAACCCCTCCACGACACTTGACCGAGGCAGCTGTCGGCTCCAGACTGCGCAGCCAGCGCCGGCTCGTCCACGTCGGAGACCACGCAGTCTGGTGGTGACGCAGCCCACGCATCCGGGGACTGACCGCGGCCAGTCTCGAGGCCCCGCCAACAGGCCACCCATTGGCTCCCGCGGCCGCTCTGTCGCCGGGCGGCAGCGATACCCCCGGCTCCGCCAGCAGGCCACCCACTGGCACCGGCGGCTGCTCTGTCGCCGGGCGGCGACAGCACCCCCGGCTCCCATCACCAGGCCACCCACTGGCACCGGCGGCCGCAGTGTCGCCGGGCGGCAGAGGTACCACCGGCCCCAATCACCAGGCCACCAACTGGCACCGGCGGCCGCTCTGTCTCCGGGCGACGAATGTACCCCCGGCTCCCATCACCAGGCCACCCACTGGCTCCAGCGGCCGCTCTGTCGCCGGGCGACGACAGCACCCCCGGCTCCATCACCAGGCCACCCACTGGCTCCAGCGGCCGCTCTGTCTCCGGGCGGCGGCAGGCGCCTGGCTCCGTCTCACATGATAGACCGACGGCGACCGAGCCGACCGAGCGAGGCCCGGCCGGGTCCGGCGGCGGCACGGCGGCGGCACGGCTCGCCTGGCCCATTAGGGCCCGTGACGGCCCCAAATGGCCGCTCCATCCGGCGCACCACCGCCGGAAACGTCGGCGAGCGGCAACACCAGACCAATGGAGCCCGACAAGAGGTAGCGCCCGGCCATACCACAGCGCCAGACGACGACGTCTCGCGCTGTGGCGTGGGGCCTCGACGTCGCCCCTGCTGTGGGGCGCACACCAGACGATGGAGCACACGACGCACCACAGCAACAACGCCAGAACACAACCTCCTCGACATCACAACACCAGACGACGGGGCGCAACAACAGGAGCGACGCCAGACCCTCGCGGGCGACGACCAATCAATCGTGCCACAACGGCCACATCTGGGCCCGGAAGCACGCCGTATCCGGCCGAGAAAACACAACTCGGATGGCATCGAGCGCGGCCACAGGTCGTTGCGCTTCCGCACGGGCAGTAACGGGGGAAGCGGCGCACTGGTAATCGGCGAAATGTCTGCATCTCGTTTCGGTGTGACGGTCGCGAGGCGCATCCACCAGAGAACAGATAGATAGGGCGGTTTGAAGTGCTGCTCCAACGCCTGCTGATGCGAGCAGCCGCTGATGACGACAGCGGACCGCGGCAGACCGCGGCCATGCTTGGATCACCAGCAAACTGCGCAGTATAGTGCTGGCGCGCCATCAACTACAGCAAAGCGCCGTCGGTAGTGCGTCAAAGTGTAAAATTGCACAAAATAATTGATGGACGTCGCACGTTTTACAACACACGACACCGTTTGATTGCTGTTCTTCTTTCCAAGAACGCCGCACAAAATGTTCGCCAAGTCCGTCCAGCCACTGGGGTTCGGAAGCAGCCATCACGCACCATCGGTATCAGCCAGAACAAGTTACGCGGTAGGCCTTCGATGCATGGCGGACAGCTGTGAAGCGCGCGGCGGCGCGCCGGAGGCTGCGTGCGATAATTACTGTGGCTGCGTGTCGGAGTTGCTATGTCTGCGAGTCAGGGTTACTATGCCTGCGAGCCGGGGTTACTATGCCTGCGCGCCAGGGTTACTGTGCCTGCGTGCACGGCTACCATGTCCGCGTGCCACGGCCGCAACGTCTGAGTGCCAGGGTTACTATGTCGGTGTACCCCGGTTACTGGTGTACCGTGGTTACAATGTCGGTGTACCGCGGTTACTATGTCAATGTACCGTGGTTACTATGTCGGCATATCGTGGTTACTATGTCGGTGTACCGTGGCTTACTATGTCGGTCGTACCGCGGTTACTATATCGGTGTACCTGGATTACTATGTCGGTGTACCGGGGTTACTATGTCGGTGTGCCTGGATTACTATGTTGGTGTACCGGGGTTACTTACCGGGGTTGATATGCCGGTGTACAGGGGTTATAATGTCGGTGTACCGAGATAACTATGTCGGTGTAGCCTTGGTTACTATGTCAGTGTACCGGGGTTACTATGTCGGTGTACCGGGGTTATTGTCGGTGTACCTGGGTCACTATGTCGGTGTATTTGCAGGTCCATTCCTTCTACCGATCTCACTCCAGGCAGCACTCAGTACCCAAAAGCACAGATCCAGCGCAGCCCAGTTCCAACCGATCTTGCTTCTCGCGCTACCTTACGGCACTTCCCTGATGCGGTCCCACACTGGTGGCAGTGTGAATCCCGCCGTCGCACCGAGCCCACCCCCCCCCCCCCCCCCCCACACACACAAGGGCACCTCGCAATACAAGCCCGCCGCAGTCGCCCAGTCTCACCGATCTCGTCCCAGGCGGCGCCGAAGTTGGCCTTGAGCACGCGCTGCACGTGGTCGGCCACGGTGAGCTCCACCTCCTCCAGCAGGTACTCGTCCTCGTAGCCCTGGTCGGTGTCCGGCAGGCCAGTGGCCGGGTCACAGTCTTTCACCACGAACCGCAGCGTGGCGCCGCAGGATCCTGCCGCCAGCCGGTACCGCCCGGTTAGACACGGCCTGGTCAGACGCGGCCCAGCTGGACGCGACCGAGCTGGCCGCGACGGTGCCGGACGGGACGGCGTCGGACACGATCAGCTAGATGCGGCTGGGTCACGCAAGGCCGAAATACGCACGGCCGGGATCGACACCGGCTTCCGACACGGCGGGGTTAGAAACGACGGAGTAAGCAATGCACGGAGCGGGTTTGTCCACATCGCTGCCTTGGGTACGGTCAGATGCCAGCCCCACATACATGTTCAGGTGTTGTTTGAAGATCGCGAATACTACGTCACAAATTTCGTGCGGCAACACAACCGCGAAAAATGTGCGCGCCTGCATGGCTTGCTGAAAACCTATCTCGCTGCCAAAACCAGGCTGGCCTGGCCATGACGGACCGTCAAGTTGTAGGGTTTCCACGTCCGGCCAGCTGAGTACGGCAGGGTCACTCTGCAAGCCGGCTCAGAATCACTTGCATAATGGCTTAGGTCGGCATGCTCCCGAACATCCTGAACGCCCCCTCGGCGGCCCATTTCCGCACGTCGGTCAGCACTGACCCAAACTACTGAGGTTCAATGCACCCCCCTCCCCCCTCTCCGCATGTCTCGACTGCAGCACTAAGACCGCCGGCCGAGACCGAGACCGCCGGCGGCGGTCTCGTTTACGTTGGTGCTAAGTCAGACCGGCGGCGCTGCGCACAACGCCGCCGGTCTGACGTAGCTCAATGCGGCCGCCGGGACCGACAGCCCAGCGGCGGCGGCGGCGGCGGCGGCGCCTGGCGTGCATGCACCAACAATGGAGAAGCCGGCGCCGCGGCCGACGCGGCTCATTAGCGGCGGCCGGTCGAAGGGCAGACGGGCGCGGTCGTCGGCCGCAGCGGCACACCCGAACTCTGTCCACCTCCCGCGGCACGCGGCACCGGAGCGCCAAACAGCGGATAGTCTCGCTCTGCAAGCGTCACTGGAGCGCCAAACAGCGGACAGTCTCGCTCTGCATACGTCACCGGAGCACCAAACAGCGGATAGTCTCGCTCTGCAAGCGTCACTGCAGCACCAAAGAGCGAACAGTCTCGCTCTGCACGCGTCACTGCAGCACCAAAGAGCGAACAGTCTCGCTCTGCACGCGTCACCGGAGCGCCAAACAGCGGGCAGTCTCGCTCTGCACGCGTCACTGCAGCACCAAACACCAAACAGTCTTGGTCTTGCGAGGCGCCGATCCAATTTGGCGCGCGAGAATGGCGGGGAATCGAGCTCGCGTCGCACCGGACTATGCCGTCATTGACGCACGGCCGACGTAATGAGCACCCGGGCGGAGAGTGCTGGGCTCTTGAATGCCGTTGGGAACAACAAGCCCGAAGGAACGTGCCCTGTCGTCAGAGCACTGCACTATGCCATTGCCTCGACGATGTTCGAATTGCCGGTGGTTGATGGCCCGGACTATTGCGTCGTGGGGGCTGTCATTATTTCAAGAGATCGAACCCGCAAAGAAGCTGCTTTTAGTTAACACATTACACACCCTAACATAAAACTGATACCGGTACATTCTGTTAATCACAAGACACATGTACCTTCCTTTCTTGCATTTGTATGCCTTTACGAAATTTTAAAACTTTACGAGCACAGCTTACAAATAAGTGCACTACTTGTTGCTGACAGCTCGACAACGGTGGGATGAGTGGTCGCAAATGTAAGCCCGTCAGAAGCGCGACAGGTTGGGGCGGACTGGGCCGGGCCAGTGAAGCTACCAACCTTAAGACGTGTTCATCAAGCGCCCCTGCTTACAACTCACCGCTAGCTTGTGTGGGGTCATGACCGGGCCGTTGAGTTGGGAATCGGTACGTAAATCGGTGACAAATTATGTGCGTCGTATACCGCACAGCTCATGATGCTGATGATGACTGAGGTTCTCTCGGGGGGCCCCGGCCGCGATGGTTCTTTGGCGCCCAGCTGTATAGCTCAAAACCACGCTGACGTGACGTGATCACAAGCTGGGAGTCATCAACAACCACGCTGACATGACGTGATCACGAGCTGGGAGTCATCAACAACCAGGTACGCCGCATGCTGTCTAGTCCAAAACAACGCCGGTATAACATGACCAGCACTAGCATGTTTGGACGGAAAGCATGCTACGACTAGACATGTGTCTGATTCGGAAGATTTCTTCACTGGCGCTTTTCTTACAGCCATTTTGGAAACAACTAGTCTACATGTACTTACACTCGTGACAAACTCTGAGGTCCAGAATTCATCAGTATAAAATGAAGCACGGTGACCTGCACGGGACATGAGCTTACCATTGTTTTACATTTGTTCTGAGGCTGTGCTGTGCTGTGCCGGTAGATACTAGACAGAGGACCGCTTATTTGCTGACAGACTCACACTGGCGACACCACTCGGGTCGTGCCAGGGTCTGATCTCTGGCCCGCACATCATACATCAAGAACGTACTGTACTGTTACACGGCCGTGGGTTCTCATCACGGCTGGTTTCGATATCAACACGAAGAGCACCATTCCATAGGAATGTAAAGTTTCACCAGCAAGAGGGACATGAACACAGCATGGACAGATTATACAGAGCTATTTCAAATTTTTCAAAAGTCAGGGTCTCCGCCTATTTTGGCTCGCCCCTCTTGCCACGCCTCTGTCAGAGAAAAAGTCATGAAGAAACACTTTTACAACTCTGGCAGCTGCAGCTCTGATGACATTTTAGCAATACCCTGATTGTTGGATAGTTGGAATTCCAGCCGCGTTTCTAATGCCTTGAAATCTGGTGGAGTATTGTAAGACCCTTATGTGGTTGCGAAGTGCACCATTCATAAAAGCCACCCCTACTATTCTGTTATGATAAGCGCATGGTTTCAGCAGTCAGGTACCCATTCGTAAATGCTCGCCAACCATCTCATCAGTAAAGCTTTATTAGTTGAAGTGACGGTATCAGGACATGCTGACTGATATGTCTGTGGTGTGTGACTTAACTGTTTTTATACTGCAGATATTTGGATCACCCAGGATAATTTCAGCCGTTGGACAGTCACTTCTAAGCAGTGATCTTCAACTACCGGAAAATCTTTATTGGTTGTAGTGGTGGTATGGGGACACGCTGCTTGACTTATTTGTGATGTGTAACTTTCATGTAGGGTGAAAGCCGAAACATGTTATTTATCTTATGTGATAGATACAGCTGTCAGGCGTTCACTTCGAAGCTGTAGGCAAATTATCTATAACTAGCAGTTAAGCTTTGTTAGTTGCATTGATGGTATCAGGACATACTGATTATTTGACTTGTCTGTGGTGCACGCCTTTTAATAAATGCGAAAAAATATGTGGGTTGTCTTTTGTGACTTGCAAGGCGTTTTGGCTGAGAACCATGAGTCAGGGTCTTGCACTTACAAAAAAAGTGAGAGCCGGTATTCAAGGTCCAAATATCCAATACATCCAAAAACAGATACCATGAGAACCACAAATAAGATCCACATTCTGCCTAAGAACCAGAGAGAAACAGGATCCAGGATTTTGCTTTTTCGAAGGAAACAGTGGGATCCAGGATCCAGGATTTTGCTTTATCGAAAGAACCAGTGAGAATCAAGATCCAGGATATTGGTATTTTGCACACAGATCAAACACGAGCCAAGATCCAGGGTTTTGTTTTGTTGAAAGAACCAGAGGCAACCAGGAACCAAACCTGGGAACCAGGCACATGTCTGGCTACAATATTCCACCCTCCGCATTTACGCCGTTAGCGAATGCAGAATTCAAAACGCGCTCCGCCAACCCATTCCATCAGCGCCCCAAACACCGCTCGTCTCCGAACACGTCCACCACCGCCGGGAAAAACAAGAGCCGTCGCTGGCCACAGCCGGCCGGCTGCGGCGGCGCCGCTCTTCGCGGCCCGTTTGCCCGCGACAAAGCGCGGCGGCGCGCCTCGGCGAGCGACGCGAGCGCGGGCTTCTGGCGACGGCCCTGTCCGCGACCGACGGCGAGCAGTCCCGGCCCGAGTCGGGCCGAGCCAATCAGGCGCCGGCCGTGTTTATCCGACAACAGCACTGTCGGCAGCGCTGTAGGCGGCGGCCACGTCACGGGCCGGCGCCGCGGCGCGCTGCGAGGCACCGGCCCGGCCGGCCGCGCCGCCAGCGCCGACGGGCCCGGCGTCGGCAGCACGACCGCGTGACGCCATCACTCGTCAGCGATACGGGCACGGAGATACCGGCACGGACCGGCCGGGGAACAAACAGCAGAGCGGTAGGGTTCGGCCGGGTCTGTTCGGGAAGCGGCAGCAGGGCTGGAGAGCAGGCTGCGGTGCTTGACGCTCCGCCCACGAGCCGCCCGCGCTCCAGACTGAGCTGGGCACGGTCCGGGCTGCGGCGTCCGTCACACACCGTAACTGGCAGCGACCGTCGGGCGCCCGCCGGCCGCTGAGCGTGTTATCTTGTTTTGCATAGCCCAAGGGTGCCTCGATAAGGCTTAAGCTCTGCGCCGGTGAAGCCGCCATCATGGGCCCATTATACATAAAGGACATCGCTGATGGAAAACATCAAAGTTCTGGCTAGAGCTAAGTTCGAGTGAAGTTCGCTCAGCTCATTTTCCGACGTCGGTTCCAACTAAAACTTCCAACAACGAAGAAAAAAGGACCAGGCCCGTGCACTAACCACCTGTCCGTGGGCACAAGCAGCCAGAAAATTGAGCCAGTCCTGCGGCTGTGGTGCGGGCCCTTTCCCTCAGGCGCCGCTGAGCGCCCTGTCCGCCCGCCAGTCGACGGGACGCCAGCGAACGGGGCTGGGCCGCGTTCACTCGTCGGCGAGAACTGCATCAAACCGTCCGAGGGAAATCACGCTCATTATCGTACTTAGAGGCTGCGGTATGGGCCGGGGCCCACTTTTACGTGATCGTATGACCTAAATAGGGCGCCCATATCATGCCGACAATCAGAGATGCAAACATTCAACATCGTTGGGTTAGGATTTCCACGCGCAATCTCTTCTTTTCAAGTCTCGACGCACGACGGATGCTGATGCGGCGAGGCCGTTGCATAGACGCCCACTGGAAACAAAAGCAGGCGGTAGCCATCGAGTGATGTGGCGACAGGTTTTTAGCCTGGGATATTTTGAAGCGCACGTGACATTTGCGGATGGGATACCTCGAAAACGCAATTTAGTAAAATTTTACGTCCCCGTCCCCAAAAGCCCCGGCGTCCGCCGCAGCAAAACGTCAGCGCGGTCCGACCTGACGACAAATGACGTCATCCTTCACTTTTCTATGATGATGATTGGGGTTTTAGGGCGCGTCGACTTCTGGGGTCATTTTGCGCCCATATTCATTTTTTCTATCTGGAGTACGAGTGTTTTACCGTAACCAATGACCAACATCATGCCAGTTTAGCGAGCAAGCTGCATATTTTTCGGTTTTTAGATATAATCCGAACATTTTTGAATGAATGGCCTTCTGGGATCAAACCTCACGCTAAACGGTGCTCGTTTTGCGAGCCCTCACCCTTACCATTCAGTCGTGCGATTGCAAGTCATAAGAAGAATTCCGTGTTGAAAGGTTACCGTGCCGCAATGGTCGGCAGGTCCGCCCTGACCTCTAACGTCACCTGACTTTAAGCGCCGCCGCAGGCCCTACCGGTCACGAGTAAATAGCACGCGCCTAAACCGACCCGAACCCACCTCGCCACGGGTGGGTGGATCGTGAGCCAGGACTCTAACCAACCGAGCTATCGGGACGGACATGGTCTAGGTCATGATGAGGCCGACCCCGCTGGTCACGTCACGACACCCGACGCAACATATTCGAGCAAGGTCAATGCAAGCTTTTCAATGAACCGCTTGAACATAAGCCGAGAGCAAGCGGTGTGGAGGAACTCACTATTATATTTGAGTCTTCGCCCATGCGTGCAGGCGACGTGAACAACTCGCAGCTACCTCGCCATCTACACAACAGCAGACGTTAACAAACGACAAGATCTCGACCAAGACGGAGGATTGAAAACGCCCCGCGCGCAATGTGCAAAACATCACAAGAGCCCCCTCAGCTTTTACAAATGCGTGCCGATTTCACTTCGGACAAAGGCCGTGCTGCCGTACCAAGGCCGTCTGTAACGGCCCATCCACCGGTCGGCCGGGCTGCCACGTCACGACACTCACCGACAGTGGCCATCAGATCCTCCGGCAGCTTCAGCAGCGTGTACGCCGTGTTCGTGACGTTGTACTCGAGCCGGGCGCACGGCAGCGTGGCCACCACCTCGAAGCCGTCCTGCGCCTCCAGCTGCACGCTCACGTCCTCCAGGAGCTGGTCGTTCAGCGTGTTCTTACAGTCGAACTGCCGGCAGCGCGGAACAAGCGGTGATCAGGCGGCGTGTGGTGTGCGGCGGCCTGGGACCGTGCACTCTGGCAGTCACAAGACCACCCGAACACACCGCTGGGCTTCACACGCTGTCCGCGCGAAGCCCACGCACTTCATTCCACCCGGCACGGGCCTGTAATTTCCAAATGGCATGCCGCCCGCCACTCTACATGCCCGCCGCCACAATGCCACGAATGGCCACGGAGCAGACATAGTTGAAAAGCAGACAGCGCGCCATTTCAATTCAGGCAGCACGATAGCGGCCAGCACGACGCGATCTCAATAGCCGTTCTGGCCGCTGATTATTGCGGTCGGCCCGGCCAGACGGCGCTGCTCTCCGCATGCCGAGCCTCTTCGGCGGTCACACCGAGGCCAGCCGCACTCAGTGGAGCCCGGGTCAGACCAGCTGCGTGCTCGTGACAGGACAGATCGGCTCGCGCCACCTGGCGGCGCCGGCGCCATGCCCTCCCTCTCCCTCGTGTCGGCTGCGGCAGGAGGGAGGGGGGGGGGGGAGAGTCCCACTTCCCGGGCCGGTCCGGTCATCACGCGGAGCACGAGCCGGGCAATCAAACGGCATGGGACGGCCGTTCGATACGGCTGGAGGAGCGGCGGCCCGCGGGCCAGCCGAGGCAGCGCCGCTCGGCTCGGCTCGGCGCGCCGGTCACGGCTGGACCGCCGGACGGAGTGTGCCGGACGGAGTGACGGCTCGGGGAGTGTGCCCTTCCGCCGATATCCCGAAACGGCCGTCAGCTGTCCGTCCATACACATCGCGACGCGCCCCGGCAGTGGTCCGCGCAGGGGTGGACCTCGCGAGCATCGGGGGAGTGCACCCACCCACAGACCACCTGGGATGCCCAAGGAGCTATTCGGCCGCAAATGTACCAAAGATCTCCAAACTCGGCATCGGGAGAGTACACCCACCCACAGACCACCTGCCATGCCCGAGGAGATATTCACCAGCAAATCCACCACAGATCTCCATACTCAGCATCGGAAGAGTGCGCCCATCCCAGACTTCGCGGGCATTGAGGGAGCACACCACGGCCAAGGCCCATCACAGGCCAGACGCTCGTGCCGGTACCTCAGGACCTGGACAGATTTCCCCGGGCCGCCAGGCGCCCCTAGGATCTGGCGTCGCCCGGAGCTGCCGCCGCCGGCCGCGCCGTGCTGTCAATGCAATAAGCGGCTCGGGCGCCTCGACGAACGGACGGGCGGGCCGGCGTCGGGGAGCGGACCGCCAGCTGCCGCTCGGCCCGATCCGTCCGCATCAGAGTCGGCCCCCAAGCCGACGCGCCATTCTCGTGGGTCCCAGGCGGCACTCAATGCACCATCCACGTGAGTGCGCTGCTAAATCTGCTCTGCGTCTCGATGGGTCTCAGTGAATGGTCATGTTGAATGCGCGCTGACGCGGCACGGTAACTAGCGCAATGCTTGACCACGGTCAAGTTTTACACTGCATACTCTCAAAGCGAGATCAAGCAGATGTGGGCAACACCCACAGCGCGACGTTCGGAAGGCGCAAGCCGAGAGCTGCGACATCCGTCTTATCTAAAGTTCTCAACTGACGCCCACATCTGTGCCACGCCGGCCTTCAGCAGAAGTTCTTGACACTCGCCAGACACACAGCTGCTCAGAGCTCGGCGTCACCTGCGAGCCGGCCCGCGAGCGCGGCCGGACCACCAGCTCGGCGGAGCGCCTGACGTCAAATTCATGCGCGCTCAGTAAATGGCGCGTGGCCGGAACTCGTGTCACGCGTGCCCGGGCCGGGGACTTCCCTCAGCCGGGCAAATCATGCTGCTATGACTCGGCACGGGGAGTTCCCGTGTCCGGGCGAACCGCGGTCTGACGCGCATACAGCGGCAGCAGCGAGCTGGGGAGCGCGAGAGCGCCGCCCACGGCCGGCCGACCGCACCCGACGGCGTGTGGGGGCTGACGATCGCAGTGCGGCTGCTCGCGAGCATGGCTGTCCCCGGTGGTCCACAGCGACGGCACACGCACGGTCCGGTACGCGCAGCGATGATACGCAGTAAGTGCTCTAAGTCCTTCCAAGACGTCACCGATCAGACTGTTCCGCGCGCTTTGCGCACTAGCAACGGCAGCCCCGACTGCACGCCAATCGCAGGATCTCGGTCGTCGCTTCTCAACGAACAGGACCGGCTCAGCCGTAAGGCCACAGATGAGCCGCATGAATCCTAGCCAAGCCGCGCTTTGTCAGCATCTCCCCAAACTCGGCGTCTCTAACCTTGAGACCAAGATACGCCACAGCTTCGAATCACGGGACATTTGACGTCCAACACTCGGCGGACACCTCCGGGAGTCGGCCGTCCCGTTCAGTCCAAATCAATATTGGCTATCTGACCGTTTCTTTGTTGAACTTTTTCTTCTCTCGCCAGTGCAGGGTGTCGCGCCATTTTCACCGTCACTTGGCATGAGACAGGATTACCAAAAAAGAGGTCAGAAGTTCTTAACCTTTCCACTGCTGTAAGTATCACAAGGTTAAGGTTCGGAACTTAATTGGTTTTGGTGTCCAAATCACCTGTTCATTATCAGCGCTCTTGGCAACTGAGAAGTTTCTTTACGAAACGAATATGATATTGCTTCAACGAATATCACAAACGCTGTCCCCGGCACACTAATCGTACTGATGGCAAAGGCAGAAGCTTCGACGGTGCACTTGTCAGTCGGGGTGCTACCAGTGGTACCGCGGGAACATCCCAGCTGGGCGCCAGGCCAGTCTTCGACATTGCACTTGTCGGTCGGGGTGCTACCAGTGGTACCACGGCAACGTCCCAGCGGGGCACCAGGCCAAGCTTCGACGTTGCACCTGTCAGTCGAGGCGCTACCAGTGGTACCACGGCAACATCCCAGCTGGGCACCAGGCCAAGCTTCGACGTTGCACCTGTCAGTCGAGGCGCTACCAGTGGTACCGCGGCAACGTCCCAGCTGGACACCAAGCCAGTCCCTTCTCGCAGACAGCCGCGCGACCTTCTGCCCAATTATTTGCTTTCCGAAAACGTGTGTTGAGGTTATAGTAATACTGAGCATAGCGATAGACCACAGTAACAATGAAGTAGCTTGAATCACGACGATGACTATACGTGCGCAATTGGCTTGGTATCAGCTTAACCACTGATCTAGGACGCGCAGCAGCTCCAACCGATCAGGTGAGTTCACAATGGAACAATATATCGCTTATGGGAGCAACATGTAACCAACCACAGACCATCATCGACCCGAAAGCACGCCTGAAAACACTGCCGCTCGCATCATGTTGGATCGAATAAATCCCTAACCCTGTTCGCGGTGCTGAGCGCAGATACCGGTGCACATAACCAATACCGTTGGCGCGCTCCTACAGCTCAACAACCAACGACTAACCAGTTGAGTCACCCGCCCGGTCTCGAACCAGTCGGGAGACGACTGGTCCGAGCTGTTTACCCTCCTGTACGAGCCGGCCGGTTCACACATTCCTGCGCCTGTTGCTGGGCTCCTCGTGCTGCGCTGTTTCAGAAATACAGGGCAATGGGACAATTTCAAATGGAGGAAGTGTGTGTGTGTGGGGGGGGGGGGGGGAGACGCAGCAGTTTGCGGCCTCTTCCCACAGTTCGCAGCGGGAACATATAACGGGTCGGCTATTCTCCGGGTTATTTCCCGGAACGAGTAAACTCCAGGAACCTCCGTTGCGCTTTCGTAGCCACATCGTTTATAACATGGGTGCGGCAAAGCATCGCTGGCCTCGTCCGCCGTCTGCTGGCTCGGCGGATCGCGGCAACTTGTACGTCCATGCTGCCCGGTATCCCGCCGAGCGCCGAGACTCCACCTCACCACAGCCGGCGTGCGGCGGCCGCCAGCGGCCAGCCGGCAACAGCCGCACCTCGGCCACCAGTCCCGCGCACACCCTGCCGGCTGTGACGCGGCCGTGCGTGCAGACCTCCGCGCCGCCGGCGGCCGAGGCTTATCCCGCCTAGTTCCTTCATCTGATGACTCTGAACTTGCCATTTCCAGCCGACAGAGCTCTCACCCCACCAAAGCTGGACGGAAGTGCGCATCTCGCGCTCTGGCCACCAGTTCCGGCGATCTGCAAACGTCCTCAGTAGCGATGGAGAACAGCTGGGCCTCCAGAGCCGTGCGCTTTCTTTAACACCATCCTCTGCTCGATTCGGATCTTGGCAGAGCCTTACTGGGCTTTGTGAAATGGGTCAACTGGCTCGAGCAAGCAGCCTGGCTTGAACAAAGCGTAAGATATACCAGTCTCTGCCAAGTAATAGGTTACTTTCCTACAACCTATACACACGGCAGCCAACTGCAGACACTCCCTCGAGTCACTGTTGGCTGAATATAAATGATTATAGATTTTTCGTATAAGCGGGGCTCATGATGCACTGAATAAGAGTCGCCTGGAACTGCCGTCTGCACTGACCCTGATCCAAAGATGATATAAGCAGACTGCTAACAGCCCACTTATCGCTATAATTTGGGCCAATGTATCTTCATCATCGCTTATAGCGTGCCTGAGCACGAAATCGAACTCAACAATAACGCATCCCGCAGAAAAACAGTGAGGGAATCGCCGTCAGACTGTCAGCGAGAAAAGCCCGCAATAACCTCGACATCTGGTGTCGCCGGCTTACCGGCGGCAGCATGCCCGACGGTAATCTTATGGCAAGGAACCCCGAGGACTCTCTGCCTTGGCCTTCCCAACTGTTCTCCAAACAACTGTATCAATCACGGCCATCATATGAACGTCAAGCGCGCTCTCGTGACGTCACTAATAAGCCGCTGGGAGAGGCTGGAAGATAACGTGAGCGCCAGACGCCACAAAACAACATCCGTGAAATTCTCGTGGTACCTAAAGCAATTGGAAGGCTCACATCACACGTAATGCGAGCATCACTTTTATGCAAAATAACAACGAAAAAAGCGCGGCACCTTATTCTAAAAAGGGCTAAAAATAAAGTAGTCAACTGACCAAAAACCAACCACCGCCGTCTGCGCATCCAGTCTGCCCAACCGACGCTGGCGTCCGTACCGGAACACGGCCGAAAAATATATCCGCGCTCGCATGACCCACACCACAAACAAGTGCCGTACACGAGGCGGAGGCTCACCTGCAGGACCACGTGGTGCGCGAACACGTGCTTGATGCACTGCACCACGTACTCAGTCTCCGATTCTGTGAGCTCAACAGGCTGAGACGATTTGAAGAGCGGTCCCAGTCGGCTGAACTCCGGGATCTTGGCCAGCTGATCGGCGAAAACGTCCTGGCGCGTAGCCGTCACCTGGAGAGCAAGATCAGGTCAGGTTAGGCCAGGTCAGGTCACGTTAAGTCACGTCAGGTCACGTTAGGTCACGTCTGGCCAGGCCAGGCCAGGACTGGACTGGACTGGACTGGACTGGACCGGGCAGGACAGGACTGGAATAGACTGGACAGGACAGGACAGGACAGGACAGGACAGGACTGGACAAGACTGGACAAGACTGGACAGAACTGGACGGAACGGGACAGGACAGGAGGTAGGCCAGGTCAGAGCAGGACAAGCCAGCGTGTCAGGTCAGGTTAGGTCAGATCAGGTCAGGTCAGAGCAGGGCAGGAAAGGACAAGACAGGACAAGACAGGTCAGAAAAGGACAGGACAGGGGGCGGAGGGGAAGAGGCTGGGCATGGGCTTTCATCAGACTGAGTTAGTTCCAGGTCGGGCCAGATAACGATGACAACGACATATGATGACGAGAGAAGTTCGTCGACAAACGATGATGGGGGTTGAGGTTTCACGATGCTTTAACAAAATCTGTAGTAAGTTGAAGCCCAAGTTTTCGAAGCGGTTTTATCACTCACAAACACGTGCACATATAAAGACGAGGCTACCACTGCTGCCATACTGCCACACGACATATTTACCAATGCCGTATTTTAAGCACAACAGCCAAGGCAACATGAGGCACGTCGATAAGATAAATCAGTTTTCGTCGCACATGAGCAACCATCAGATAAGCAAACTATTAAAAGACATAAACCACACGGCAGGCTTCTATAACCATCCGACAACGGGCGGTACGTGTGATAAATGACGGACCGAGCAGCATGCAGGACATCTCCCTTCCCCGTCAGACGTCATACACAGGCCGTACAGGGCGCCCCACCATCATACGCCATACACAGCCGCAGACTGTACAGGGCGCCCCACCATCATACGCCATACACAGCCGCAGACTGTACAGGGCGCTCCACCATCATACGCCATACACAGTCGCAGACCGTACAGGGCTCCCCACCATCATACGCCATACACAGCCGCAGACTGTACAGGGCGCCCCACCATCATACGCCATACACAGCCGCAGACTGTACAGGGCGCTCCACCATCATACGCCATACACAGCCGCAGACTGTACAGGGCGCTCCACCATCATACGCCATACACAGCCGCAGACTGTACAGGGCGCTCCACCATCATACGCCATACACAGCCGCAGACCGTACAGGGCTCCCCACCATCAGACGTCATACACAGCCGCAGGCCGTACAGGGCGCCCCACCATCATACGCCATACACAGCCGCAGACTGTACAGGGCGCTCCACCATCATACGCCATACACAGCCGCAGACCGTACAGGGCTCCCCACCATCAGACGTCATACACGGCCGCAGGCCGTACAGGGCGCCCCATCGTCAGACGTCATACACAGCCGCAGACTGTACAGGGCGCCCCACCATCAGACGTCATACACAGCCGCAGACTGTACAGGGCTCCCCACCATCATACGCCATACACAGCCGCAGACCGTACAGGGCTCCCCACCATCAGACGTCATACACAGCCGCAGACCGTACAGGGCGCCCCCACCATCAGACGTCATACACGGCCGCAGGCCGTACAGGGCGCCCCATCGTCAAGACGTCATACACAGCCTCAGACCGTACAGGGCTCCCCACCATCAGACCGTCATACACAGCCGCAGGCCGTACAGAGGGCGCCCCATCGTCAGACGTCATACACAGCCGCGACTGTACAGGGCTCCCCACCATCAACGTCATACACAGCCGCAGACTGTACAGGGCGCCCCACCGTCAGACGTCATAAACAGCCGCAGACTGTACAGGGCGCCCCACCGTCAGACGTCATACACAGGCCGTACAGGGCCCCCACCGTCAGACGTCATACACAGGCCGTACAGGGCGCCCCACCGTCAGACGTCACGCACAGCCGCAGACTGTACAGGGCGCCCCACCGTCGGACATCATACACAGCCGCAGACTGTACAGGGCGCCCCACCGTCAGACGTCATACACAGCCGCAGACCGCACAGGGCTCCCCACCATCAGACGTCATACCACCGAGACCGTACAGGGCTCCCCACCATCAGACGTCATACACAGCCGCAGGCCGTACAGGGCGCCCCATCGTCAGACGTCATAAACAGCCGCAGACTGTACAGGGCGCCCCACCATCATACGCCATACACAGCCGCAGACCGTACAGGGCTCCCCACCATCAGACGTCATACACAGCCGAAGACCGTACAGGGCTCCCCACCATCAGACGTCATACACAGCCGCAGGCCGTACAGGGCGCCCCATCGTCAGACGTCATAAACAGCCGCAGACTGTACAGGGCGCCCCACCGTCGGACATCATACACAGCCGCAGACTGTACAGGGCGCCCCAATGTCGGACATCATACACAGCCGCAGACTGTACAGGGCGCCCCACCGTCGGACATCATACACAGCCGCAGACTGCACAGGGCGCCCCAATGTCGGACATCATACACAGCCGCAGACTATACAGGACGCCCCATCGTCAGACGTCATACACAGACCGTACAGGGCGCCCCATCGTCAGACGGCATGCACAGCCGCAGACTGTGACACCCGCCGGGATCAGCTGACCAGCTAGGACTGCTCTCTAAAAAGGGACCCATTTCCCATCAGGAAGTTCGACTTGTAACCTAGACCACGCCAATATTTGGTGAGCCTGAGAGTGGGCTAATACAGTTCATCCAACGTTGATTACTAGCGGGCCAGCTTTGAAATAGAGAGCAGAGCACGTGTCCCGGCGGATCCAATGGCAGACAGGAAGAAGGCATCCAGCAGACCTCGCACTGTCTCAGAGTCCAGTCAAGCCGCGGATTCATGTCAGGAGGACGCCGTGACCGACATCACGGACGGACCAGTGGCCGGCCGCCCCAAACGCGCGCGGCTAGCAAATTATTTCTTCTCTCCCGACTCCGGGAACAGACGGCCACGCAGTACGTGCAGCGCGATCCTTTTCCGCAGCAAGCGGACACCTTCCAATTACCGCCAGCTGGTAACCAGGGCAAGTCCCTCATGCCAGTCTTGCGAGAAGTGGCGCAAGCCCAGACGACCACCTTTCCCTAAGCGGCTCGTCGCATCGGAGCCAAACGGCGCTGACCTTGCCCTGAGCCCACCTGGCACCAATGTCGCCGGTTGGGCCGCTGGCGACACAGCGGGCGGCTTCAATTATGCAGCGCCACTGTCATATCGTCAATATTTAAGAGCCCCATCCCACGGCCCGTCAAGCCCGGACCTGGTCGCAGAAAGCGGATTTGAATTGCAGAGCACACCATTGGCGGAAGCCGGCCGGGAATCGCGTAAAAATCTGCCATCAATTGTCGTCGGCGACTTTTGCGCCTGGAGGCAGCGAGCGTGAACCGACTGACCTGGTGCCGCATATCACACCACCGGGTCGCGTCTAGCGGTGACCCCGATCACAGCAGTCACCCATCATGAGAGGCCGGCAAGATCACCGTCCGTCGCGTAGCGACAGCCTCCACCCACGCACCCACCCGACAGCGACCCCACGCCAGCCCAACACAGCCTTGCCACGTCTGTGACGAACATCTGTGGCGGGCGTCTGACACGGAAGCACGTCTAAAACACAAGGCGTCCACAGCCCACCCCACCACTGCGACGAAATCACACCGCCCACCCGGGCAACAGATCACAGACAAAACCCTTGGTGGAAGTGACGCGCTGCGCCCAGGCGGGGCCGGGGTCGGTCGCCGGGCGGAGCGCGCTCACCTTCTCCTCTGGCTTGCGGCTGGTGATGGAGCCCTCGGGCGCGGCGGCGCTCTCGGCCGCCGGCGCCTCGGCCACCGGCACGGCGCGCAGGTCGAACGGCTGCTCGGCCGGCGACTGGCAGTAGGTCAGCAGCGCCTTCTCCAGGCCGACCAGCGACACCTGTGGTCGGCGCCGAGCGGCGTCAGCAGCGGGCCACCACGGCAGCGCGGCACACGGGCCGCGGCGGCAGGTGCAGCGCCGGCCGGAGGTCGGACAGGCCGGGGGACGCCAGCGTGGGTACGACCCGCCATGCACCAGTAGCGACACGGATACGACGCGGTGCCTCTGACGGCACTACCACACCGAGCGGGCTCGCCGTAGTAGTGGCCACATCGCGCGAATTTCCCGGATCCAGCGACACGTGCATCGTCGGCTGAGGTACGGAACTGGCTCCCTCCCGTTGCCAATTATGAATGACATTCACCGGCAGTCATCACATTACCCCGGAGACATGTCACCGTCAGGGCTACTTAACAGCAGCGCAAGCCTGGCTGCGGTCCAAGTCACGCGCTGCCGGCCGGCCCACAGCGGGCGGCGGCGGCGGCGGCGGCGGCGGCGGCGTCACCTGCAGCGAGTTGAGGATGCACTGGTTGTTGAGCGCTGCCTGCTGCTGGTCCAGGATGTTGTAGTAGTAGGTGGCGCGGTCCCGCACCTCGTCATCCGTGTCCATCTGGCAGCGCTGCTCGCCGGAGACGGAACGGGCCGACGCGACAGTCAGCAGGGCGGTCACCGGTCACGCTCGCAGCCGAGGCAGCACGCGAAGACGCCGCCTGGCGCAGCGCCTCGAAAATGCACGCCGGTTCCACAACGCACAACTCCGCCAAACCGGCTGCGGTGATCGGCAACGATGGAGCACACGACCGCGGAACACACTGGCATGTCCGGCACATGTGGGCACATGGGAACAACGTAAATCGACCTTGACACCAGCTCTCCGCCCCGCCGTCTTCTGGGTGGGGTGCTCCCTAACGCCGTCTCCTCACCTGCAGCAGCACCAGGATGTTGGGCAGCATGTCGTCGCAAAGCGCACCGAAACGAGCCAACGACGAGACGGCGGCGGCGCGCACAGCCGCGCTCTCCAGGATGACCCGGTTGTAGATGAAGCGGATGTACTTGGAGGGCTGCTTGGTCTTGGGGCCCTCGCGGCCGAGCAGGTGCAGGATGCGCACCGCCAGGCTGGTGTGCTCGCAATCCTCGATGAACTCGCAGAGGTGTGACAAGCCTGCGGCCGGCCGGCACGTGGCGCGTGAGTCATCAGAAAGATCAGACCGAGGGCAGCCACACCACGGGGACAGCTCCTCCTTCCCACCCGTCTCTGACACTAGGCGTCCCGTCCCGTCCAGCCACATCACGGGACGGTAACTTACTCCCACCCAACTCTGACATTCAGCGTCCCGTCCCGTCCAGCCACATCACGGACAGCTCCTCCCTGCCGCTCAGAGTCGCGTTCCGTCCACTGTTTCGCTGCCCTGCGCCAGGCCGGAGCGAGCCTTACCCGCCTCCTTGGCCTCGGGGTTCTCCTCGATGATGGTTATGATGGTGTCGGCGATCGAGGCCTTGTACTCAAGGCCGCCCTCGTCGCGCAGCATCGACGACAGGAAGTTCATCAGCACGCCGTGCTTACGCGGGAACTTGAGGCACAGCGCCTTGATCGCCTGGCGGGCGGACGGGCTCGGTCAGCGGCCGCGCGGCAGCCCAGAGCCGCAATCAGGCGGTCCGCAGCAGCCCTGGAGGTCACTGCGCCACGCTGCTCCGGGCCCCCACCGGGCGGGACACCAGCTGTCCTGTCGCAGTCGGCTGGCCTAGGCCTGCGGGCTAACGACTGGAGATGCGTGGGGGTCACGTGATACGGCACGTGCCGCAGCTGTCCAGCACGCCATGCAAAACATTTGGGCAAATTAGACAGGCTCTTAAGCCCCCCGGTCTCCAAAACAATATCCTGCACGACAGTTTCATGCAAGCTCCGATTGTTCCCGTCCTTTTACAATAAATGGTCTTAATATTGGAATTTCCACGGAGATATTCAATCAGCCAGGCTACTTATGCTCTTTCTGAGAAGAGAAATCATCGAATCTTTTTTAAATTCAGATTTATTTCCAACCGTTCGCATGAGTTTCTCCGAGTCAGAGCCCATCCAACAGTTCTCGCTGCACGTTCACCGAGCTCACCAACCAAGAACGGTGCCCCGCCCAAGTTGTGCTGCCTAGTTCTCGCTGCACGCTCACCGAGCTCACCAACCAATAACGGTGCACCGCCCGAGTTGTGCCGCCCAGTTATATGGCTAACTATGCCATCAGCCTTTCGCCCGACAACCTGGCGGATAGCTCTACGCACCGCACGATGATGGGGAACGGCCGCTCCGGTCCGGTTCGGCCTTCGTTGGCCGTTTGCCAGCTCACCTTTCCGTATCAGTCGGGCCAAACAATGCGCCCGCCCCGGGACTCGCACCCAGAGCCGCCGGATAACGGGGCACGCATAATTCCACAGCCCACAGGGAAGGCTGGAGCAAGGTGATCTGGCCCCTTAAGACAGCATTTTAGTTTCATACCCAGCCCGATCACAACTGCGTGCTTACAATCTCATACACACGGAATACTATCATCGGAAACGTCGCAAGGTTTCGTAATAAAAAGGTTGTTTGGGATAACAAAAGGACCAATTGCTACGTTACATGTTTAAAAAACGCTTTTTCCGTGGCCCTTACAAGCGCAATCACTTGATTGCAGAGCACGTTTGTTGTAAGCTGGACGTCACGCACAGACAAGCGCTGAGCCTTCCTTTCCACTCCGTCTCCCATATTTGTAAGTGGACTTCAGACCCGGCAGTTCTCCGTCCCTAAACCACTCTCGGCGAACATCGCCGTCAAAGCCGCTGTAACATGCCCGACTTTCCTTGGAAGCGCCACAAGCAACAGAACACCCACCGCCTGATCAAGCGTTACCGGCTGAATGGCCACCGGCGCCCCGCTCGCGCAGCCACGGGCCCCAGAGCGACGGCTCCGGCCGGCGACCACCACCGCTCCGACCGCGTACCTGGACGACGACGATTTTGAACTCGTCGCTGATCTCGGACACGAAGCTGGAGATCTGCTTCATGAGCCGGTCGACGGAGGACTCGGCGCCCGTCTTGAGCAGCGTGGTGATGGCCAACGTGGCGATGGAGCGGTTGACGTCGGAGATCAGACTCTCCAGGTCCAGGTTGCAGGCCGTCACCACCGCCGGATGCGTCATCGCGACCTGGCGGGGCACCGTCGACGTCAGCGCCCGGTCCGGGCCAAGGCCAGGTCAGGGAAGGTCGACCGGCGGCTCGGGAGCCGCACGCAGACCGATGCGTCGCCCGTGGTCGACACCGGGACACAGCGCGGGTTCGAGGCACACCGAGGCACAGGGTCGGGACACACGCGGGGTCGAGGCCTGATTCTGTACGCGCCAGGGTGTGCGACCTAGAAACCCCGCGCATGTCCAAACTGTGAGCAAGGCACCGACGCCGGTCCGCCTGCGGATGGCCGCAGCGACGACATGCCTGCGACACGCCATGTCCGCCCTCGGAGCGCGGCTGGCTGCAGTCGCCACGTAAGGCCCAACCGGACAGACTGCGCCCACAACGAACCCTCCACCGGACTCCTCCGACACGGCACCGTCACCCTTCGCCGCATCCCTCCCCAGCGCCGCTCGCCTGCGCCGCCCGCGAGCCCGCGCTTCACGCGCACCCCGCTCGCCTGGCCCAGCGGCCGGCCGGCCTCACCTGGTTCAGCGTGCGCACGGCGGCGAAGCGCAGCGTGGGCTTCGGCGAGCTGAGGAAGAGCTGCAGCACGCTGACGGCCGGCGCCAGCTCGCGCGGCGAGGTGCGCGGCATGTTGACGATGGCGTGCGCCGCCTCGTACACCACCATCTCCGACTTGTGGCGCAGACACGAGTCGACGAAGTCGAACAGCGGCGAGTCTGTGCCGGCGTCCTCCTCCTCCATCAGCTTGCAGGCGGTGCGGATCTGGTGGGCAGAGAGGAGGAGAGGGGAAGGGGTGAGACCGGTGGATGACAACCGGCTGGGGAGACGGGATGGGAGGGGGGGGGGGGGGGGCCAAACGCCGGCCCCGCCCGGACCGACGGCCACGGTGAGCGGCACCCCGCCGCGGGCAGCGAGGAGACCGGGCGAGCCGAGCAGAGCCACTGGCTGGTACACGCGGCAACGGTGTTCAGGGCGCGGCGGGCCGTCTCCGACCCCGCAGTCAGCCGCGGACAGGCAGCACGGGACGTCACACACGCCGCGCACGGCATATGCTGACCGAAGTTCGTAATTCGAAGTTAAAAACGAAGTTTGTGATGGGATGACTCCCCCACTAAGGTCGGGTTGGACGACAGCCAACTCAGACGACATCAAAGCACGGCCGCCCAATCCATTCATCTCAGGAGTTCGTGATGTCCTGATACCCGAGCCCCACAGCATCATTACAGCATCATATGGCATCATTAATCTGAATACAAAAATGAACGATGCTCGGAAAATGGTATCCTACTGGACTGTCCCCACCGATAAATGTTGGCATTCCTGTCTTTTTCTACAACATTTCAAACTTTTTCTAGACAAAACCTACCACGCCATACCAGTCTGAGACGTGCCCAAGATTTGCCACGACAACTGAGGCCTGTGTACAAAACTTACAATTGTGAACTGAAATATGGCAGCTTTCGCGCCTTTTCAAAATGTCAGTTCTCCCTCTGAGCACTCCACGAGACTTCGCCCGACCTGAATTAGCAAGTCTTCACTCCCCAAACCAGGACCCGAAACCAGAGCCGGCCCGGACCCTCCGTCAGCCGGCGCGCGCCTGCCGGCCGGGGCGTGTGGCGCGGCGGCTCGGACTCAGCCAGCAGGCGCCGCCACCAGCGTCAACTCACCAGCATGCAGACGGCGTAGGGGGAGCGAGGCGCGGCGCGGGTCAGCTTTGCCACCAGCTTGGTGACGGCCAGCCGGTCCGACCGCTTGATGTTGTACAGCAGTCCCAGCGCGTGGTACTGCACCATCATGCTGTGGAGAAGGGGGGGGGGGGGGAGCGTCACACCCCGGACGCCGTCCACGCCGCCCGGCGAACGCAGGCCCGGCCCGGTGACCAGCCGCGGCGCCCACACGCGGGTCTGCTGGTGACGTCACACACCAGCCACCAGTCGCGGGCGCGGCATATTGCATACGGGTTACTAGATATTCCCAGAACTGTGAAATTAAAGCTGCCACAAAACCGCGGATATCTTGAAGCAACGATCTTTAAGAATTGACGTCTGATGATATAAATTGTTTTTTTTAAGGGAAGATAACTGGGTGTTCGCACACCACCAATACGTGAGTTAGCACAGAAGTGCTTCGTTTTCATCTCGGTTCTCTCCTCTCAAACCGCCTCCATCTTTGTTAGACAGACGTCGGCGTGGGAGATTGACGTCGCTCTAGCTGGTAAATGGATGCGTCTCCGTGCGTCAACATGTAAATATGAGCCTTGGGAAGCAGCGGATTTAACGCTGGAGCCAACCACGCCGCAATTAAAGCTCTGTGCGCAGAACCGCACTAGTTATTAAGTTCGTGGCCGTGCCGATGTCGAGCAGTGATATCTGAGTGTAACAGAAGTACGGCATAGTGAAAGGGTTGGAATCGACACTTGTATTATAAAAATTGACAGCAGGAGTGATGGATGAATAACACTCGAGACAATTCAAATAAGGCAAGGACACTTTCAAACATAATACATACAGCGCTCCAGAGGCTCATTGGATCTGACATTGGCGAGGCGCCTCTTTATATGAATCACAAATTGGTTTAGCGTGGCTCCAATACACTGTTCCACTACCCCGCCCCACCATTTAAAGCCCAACGACCTACTACATTTGGGCGCGTCGCCTCCGCGCTTGGCACGCGTATGGCGGTGACATCGTGATGGATGCATGGTGCAAGCCCAGCCCCGGTCCGCTACCGGCGGGCACGGCTGGCCGTGGCGAGAGGCTGGCCGCTCCCGCCGACGGCCGTGAGGCCGGACCGGCCGGCCGGGCCGACGGCGGCGGGACGCCACACACAGTACCCGGCAAAACAACCCGCCCTATTGACACTGTGCAGACGCGCGCGCGCGCGCACACACACACACACACACACACACAACACACGGAGATGCAGACGCAGCCGCCAAATGGGCGCCGCCCGGGCCGCGGTAATGGGTCGGGCGGAGGAGACCGGCATGTGTTGTCGCGAGCGCCGGCAGATGACCGCGACTAGCTTCCCAACGACCGCATGCGTTTCAATTTGGCCGAGTGAATTGGGTGCCACGAGGTAGAGCGATGGAGCGCAATTACGCCTGAGAGCTGCCATTTCCAGATCCTGATGGGATGAGGAGCCGCGGGACCAGGGACAGGCAAGGCTGATGATTCGGCAATCTTGCCAGGCGTTGGTGCCAGACACTGATGGGATGAGGAGCTGCGGGACCACGGACAGGCAAGGCTGATGATTCGGCAATCTTACCACGCGTTGATGCCAGACACTGATGGGATGAGAAGCTGCGGGACAGGCGTCGCTGATGATTCGGCAGTCCTGGCACGCGCTGGACTGGCTTCGCTTCGGAATATGGTAACATAGTATGTATTTAACTATCAGCTAATTAGATAGACGAGTAATCATTCCGGCCAACAACACTACTACGCAGGACCAGTTTAAGATTCCTGTAATCGGAGAAGGAAGCACCGGCATAGACCCCTCCACACCTGGACTTAGCACGGACAGTTATGTTAAGAATGACAGCCACGCCGAGGACCTTGATTCCTGCCTGTGCTTCAGAGAAGAACGTCACTTCCAGCGAGAACTTCTTACGAAATTTTTACGCTCTAATTTAGGTTTTGAATACATATGTAAATGGGCTGAGGCAAGTTTCGCCATTCCCCAGTTCAGTACGCAAAGAGGACGCTGGCAATATTTGCAGTTTTCGGAGAGTAGGTAGAGTATCCGGTTTCAAAAAGTTTCATTTGGCCTCGCCCGTTCACCGCTCATGCTGTTTGAAACTCTCACATAAAACGTCGGTCAACGTCTTACGGACGAGCATGTCCAACTGTCAAAGGACACACGCGGAACTGGTATGGATGGCCTGTGACTGAGCTTCCGCTCTCGTCAAAGGACTGACACAGACGCAAGCGCATTCAGTACGGTCTGTGAGAAAGCCGGAACGAAGCTCAACAGGATCCTCAAGACTGGTGACGGCACACAGTCCGCTCAGATCATGAGGATACTCTCTGAGAGTGAGCATATCCTCAGACACCTGGCCAGACACCCGGCAGGCTCGGTTATATTAGTGTATAAATGTGAGCCCTGCCACCACGCCCTACTATGAACAGGCTTCTCGGGAGGTCCACATGGAGTTGGCGAAGTGCACAACGACGTGGAGGGATCCAGCCTGCACTTGGAGAGCGTCCTGAAGTCCTTCACGGACTTGTAGACCATGGGAACCTGGTCTGTACCATCCCTTATATCTCGTGCCTCTGGCCTCGTCACGCCATTCATACAGATCGTAAGCACACAGATCGTAGAGCGCGAAGTCACACCCGTTCCTACTCCCAGATGGAATCCCAGCGCGCGCCGCGCCAGCGCCCGCGGACGCAACCTCGGAAGACATTCCACTTTCGGCGCCGCCGACACGCTTGCGGTACATTTGGACGGACGCTGATTGATATGTCACGCATCGACATGCAAACCGGTTCATTGGTGCGCGGGAGCTTTGAGCATTTCGACCTGTTTATGACCTGACATTCACTTCTCACTGCCGTGATCCCAGCCGTGGTTTATATTCTGGCATCAGGGATATTGGTCGCGTAAGAATGCTGCACACATGGAATCCACACATGAGTATGTTATTGCAATTATAGACTAGCGCGGTGAGCCTATGTCAAAATGGCAAGCAGCTGTCCACCACACCGACGACACAGGCCTAATGAAGTGGTCCAATGAAAGAGTGAGAGTTAGTCACGTCGGTCAGTCAGCCATTTAACTCCGCAACAGCTATTTTCTAACACCCACTGGTCGCTCTGCGATCTAAATGCTAGAACTTTCTCAGAAAACACCAGACTCTTGTCCTTACTCGGTCAAACGTACTCTTTTGAGTCACTGCGACGGAGTGTCCACTGGCTCAAAACATCAGTAGCAAGGAGAGCCTAGCGCTACCATTTCTTGGAGAAGTCCTTCTAGCCAAGTCTAAAGTCGGCATGAACATTTCCACAATGCTTCACATTGCACTCAAAACTAACCATATTTCAATATTATATCCTACCAACACACCGTCGTCAACAAAACGCATGGTTGCAACCGCTATCAAGTTCGAACTTGGAGGAGAATGCCTAGTGTCAGCTGCGGTTCTGTCTGGTCAGGTCGGGTGTGATTCGTCGTCTCAGGTGAGTCCATGCGGGTCCGTGAGTCCGTGCGGGTCAGGTCAGATCAGGTCAGGTTAGGTCGGGTCGGGTCGGGTCGGGTCGGGTCGGGTCGGGTCGGGTCGGGTCGGGTCGGGTCGGAACGGGCCGGGCCGAACGGGTCGGGTGGGATCGGGTTGAGTTGGGTTGAGCCGAGTCGAGTCGAGTCGAGTCGGTTCGGGTCGGGCCGGGTCGGGTCGGATCGGAAAGAGAACAGATCCCAACCGCAACCAACCAACACAACACAACAATGTACGCGACGAGTCGCCTCGACGAAAATAGACCCCACGCAGCACCAAAAACCATGCGACCTCTGCGCATAGTCTCGGAATCCCCTAGCAACCCCTCAAGCCTGACAGCCACACCTCTTCCCCCGTCCGAGTGTGGTAACTGGCGCCTGCCCCCGCCGCCGCTGACGGTGGCTCGCACTGCCACCTGCCGGCGCGGTCCGGACCAGCCGCTCCAGCCTGGTGTGCGGCCGCCGCTCCCACTGATGGAGTGCCGCCGACGCCCGGCCCCACCTGATAAATTGGTCAATCTCGCGCCGGCCGCCTCTGGTAGTCAGGCCAGACCACCCCGTCCGGCCCACCAGGCCCCGCGAGACCCCCACAGTGGTCCTGAGACTGCCAACGGCACCAGGTGAACGCTCGCTGAGCGGGAGAGGACGCAAATGCCCGTCACAGGTTTAACCTGTTCACAAAACGCGACAAGCACGGCTCGCTAATGTTACGCACATCACCGGCTGCGCATTAGCCCGTAACGTCGGGGGCGATCATGCCACACCATGCCGACCACAACCGCTTAATTATTGGCGTAACGAGCGAAATCACTCGGAATGAGCATTGTGAAGAAATCACGTCCATAGCTATTGTACCCGATCCCCTTGTCCCTGGCCAGTCAGCCAGTCACAGCTGTCCCTGGCCAGTCAGCCAGTCCCAGCTGCCTTATGCCGGCCACCCAGCCCGCTGAGACACCCACTCATGCTCTCCAATCACCCGCCATTCTGCGACCGCGCCCCGCTCTTTCTCTGCTACAGAATTAGATGTTTTGTTCACAGGTGGGTTTCTCACGACCAATCAGGTCACATGTGCCGCCTCCTTCCCCGCGGGTGCAGCTAGTACTGGCCGATTTCGGCGTTCGCCGGGCGGATCGGACAGGCAGCGTCTCGTGGGTGCCTGGCGGCCACTGCTGGAGCTATTCTTGTGAGACGGGTCCGAGGTGTCAGACCGAGCCGGACAGGACTACTGTCGGCCGTGGCTGGGGAGAGTAGCGAGAAGTGCGAAGACATGGCCTGTACAGGCTTTGCACCAAACCCTATCACGCTGCATGCTATTGCTCTTTTTCTAATGAACATAAAGATGACAGTGGTGGCAACCACGCACGACTGTCTCCCCCTCCCTCCGTGCCCGGCCCAGATGCCGCGGCGACATCACCGTGCCCCCCCCCCCCCCCCCCGGCACACACCTGTCCGAGTTGAGAGCCTCCTGGGCCTCGTTGCTCCAGCGTTTGACGACGTCGGGCGAGGAGCGCATCAGGTGGAGGGCCGAGACAAGCGCGGCGCTGCTCACGCTCGGCGACCGGTCCACGATCGCCTGCTTCATATACCGCTCGATCGCCTGCAGCATCGTCGTCTGGGGAGGAGGCGGCGGTCAGCACGGGCGCACGCGACAGGCCGGGGAAGGAGCTGGGGGCCGGCACAGGGGAGGAGGCGGCGTTCATCACGGCGCACGGACCGGCCGGGGAAGGAAGCTGGGGGCCGGCACAGGGGAAGAGGCGGCGGTAAGCACGGGCACCGCCACTGTCCGGGGAAGGAGTGGGGGCCGGGCACAGGGGACTAGGATGGCACTATTAAAGCGCTATACGCGACAGGCGGGGAAGAGCTGGGGCCGGACAGGGGAAAGGCGGCGGTCACATGGCACAGGCACGGTTCGGGGAAGGAGCTGGCCCGCACAGGGGAAAGAGGCGGCGGCGTCAGCACGGGCCACACGCCACGTCCGGGAAGGAGTGGGGCCACACGGGACGACGATTGGGACATTAAAGCCATAGCATACAATCAGGTTAACTGTCAATGGGAGGGCTCACGAAAGAGTTTCGGTCGCTCAGAGAAAAATCCCGAACTTTAGGGAATGTGCCTAAGATCAGCACAGAAATAAATCGCAGACTAGGAAAATGGGAGGGCTCACAAAAAAACCAGTCCGGTACATCCAGATAGTTGACATCTCTAGCTGGACATCTACAGATTGAGTGCAAGAGTAGAATAGTGCCAGAGTGCTACTGTTCGTTCGTTAGGCTGGTTTGACCTCTGCAGCTTCCGTGCAGGTCGGACGAGGCCGGTAACATCCGCACCAGTCACGTACGTCGGTGATGCAGCAGAGGGCGCGGATGGCCGCCGCCCGGTACATGTCCTCCTTGCCGGTCATGTCCTTCGTCAGCGATGACGTCACGATGATGACGTCATCGGCAACGGTTGCCAGCTCCTTGATGCCCAGGTAGACAAGTCTGCGGAGCGTGACGTCCTTGGACTGGAACAGCTTGGTCATGGCGAAGAAGGCCTCTGTGGCCTCAGTGGAGCCCAGCTGCTCACCCTGTAAATGGACGCAAATTGGCATTGGCTTTGCTATACTAGAAACATATGTGATTGGCAGAGATAAAACAAGCATATACTAGGCATTCCACAGCAATGCTCTGATAAGTGTAATTAAGCTAAACTGATGCGCAAAATGTAAGTAAACTTTTGTAAACCGTGATGTATCACCAGTCCAATTCAAGGACACATCTTAATACTTTAAAGACCTTATCAATACTTTACAAGCATGGAGCCACAGCAACACAATTCACAGTTACATGCTTACTAGATGAAAAGACAGCCCAGATTTATGGATTCATTCACTGACCTGATTCAACATGTACAGGATCTTGGTCAGTATATGGGTGCACTTTCGTGGGTTCACAGGTGTCTCATTGAAAGTGCGGGCTTCTTGGAGAACAGATGTTTTCTCGAGGTTGAGAAAAGGATTTCCACTTCCTGTAATCACCAGAACAAGACATGGATCAGAAATGCAGGCCAGTACCAGTCAAAGGAAAGCTGAACCAGTGAGGAGAATCCAACTCAGCAGACAAATTGGGTCAGCATGTTTTAACATGACATGTGGCACAGTAACATGGTCAAATTGGTGTTGTTATTTTGTCTTGGTCCTCTGGTTATTGAACAACTGAGCACATAATGCCCAGTTTTGGACTGTGCATAACCATGCCTTGAAATGTCCCTCACATCCTGTTCAAAATGTCATGAGCCACCCAACATCTGACTTCCAGGACCAGCATTAAGTTGTCACCCTATTTTCAATACATTTTTGTGTAAGCTGCTGATGAAATATTCCATTCCATTCCCTTCCTGTAACATTGTGTGACATAAAATTTATGTTATAGAAAGCACATGCTACTACCAGAAATTGATAAATGATATTATCTGGTTATTGTTTTAGACTAAACCATTCTCTCTGAGACTTAGTCATTATATAATCCACTATGTGAAAGAACACACAAAGTAAACCCAAAATACTGAAGTAATCTGATAAACATGAAACCATCACACTTCCTTTTTCAATCTGTTTGCAATATAAGACAGATGTCTACATACTAAATGAGAAAGCTACAGCTGTCTCTTTATCACACTTCAGTGATTCAACATTCCGTCACTTGGGTGGCAGCGCTGTCAATATCTTTCTCTTTATGCTATCACAGCCCTGGCCTGGAGCTCACTGCCCTTTCTCTTTGCACAAGAATGACCAATTAGCATCACACCTGATGGCAGCCAGCTGAGGAGCCTGGTGCTTGGCAAATCTGCATGGGCAGGTGAGATGTCAAGGTTTAGGGTCACAGGGCAACAGATAAGCAGCTAACAAATGACACATGTGGAGGCTGCCAGAGACACAGAGTTCTGGCACCCTGACTTTATGTTCACTTTCTGCACATTCTGCTAGGTGAATTTTTGGAAAAATGCCCCACCTGGTCCATAAATTTGACATTTGAGCACACACAAAATGTTTGCACCAAGACAACACCGAAACTAGCATATATCAAACCCAGAAAAAGACTGGAATGAGCACCTAGGAATATTGTTGTGCCTCCCCCTTATGAAACAGTTTTGTTCCCCAGGACTTCAAAATTTGCATGTTGCAAGGTGGAAAACAACATCTAGGGTATCAGTTTGACAAACAATCAGGAGCATATAAAACATAAATATCCCACCAAATACTATATCAATTCCTAGACATCATGTCCAAGATAGTGTAACTTTACACATACCCATGAAAAAACACAGGTTCACCATGCCGAAGCACACCACTTCCATTTCCAATGCATGCCAAGTCTTCTCTGAGACACAACAGCAGACAGCTAGAGCTTGAGGCATTACTTATGGACATAGGTTTAGTTTCATATTCAGTCAGGGGCTCCAGTCCCAATTTAGGATCTAGCATCTGTCCCCCATCTAGATGAAGCCATACATCTCTGAGATGCTTTCTTAGGCAACACAGCAGTTGAATGAGCAAATTACATTGACCTAAGGTCAGGTATGAAGGTCACACAAAGGTCAAAACCAACCTGTTTTGTTTCTCTAGGGCTTGCTCTATGGGATGGCTTCTGGTGCTCATTTAGAGTTTATTGAGAGCAGGAGCCGCATTCTACATCAGCCATGAACTTCCTAGAGGTCAGAATAGGTCATGGACCTAAAATGACCCAGGTCAACATTTGTTTTTGGAGCATACTGCCTAGCGTAATCTTTGTCACTTAGTCAAATGCAAAACTCAAAGTGATCTTGTGTGATTTTGGTCACCTTAACCTTTAAAAGGTCAAAAAGGTCACTGACCTTGGATGATAATGTGACCTCTTGCTTAGCAATACCTTTTACTTAGAAATGGTTATCTACATTCTGGGGGCACATTAGAGACCAGCCTGGAACTTGACCTTGTTTGACCTTTTCTGACCCAAATATCATGACCAAGGATTCTGAAACTTTGACCAAAGTGAGTTCACATACAGGCCAACACAAGCTGTAAATTTGGTGTCTCTGGCTTTCTTAATTCCTGAGATCTCAGAGGGGGCATATTGACCCCCAACTGAGCAAATGGTATCTAGCTGGCCACTCGGGTGAGTGTTAAAGAAGGTAGGACAAATCATGTTTACTTGCATGTTTACTAACATATTTTGAGGGTATATTGCTATACTATTCACAGCTCAGTCCCTCCACACACACCCATGCTTAAGCCAGTTTGTAAACATCCATCCCATGCACTGGGCCCTTACACCACATCAATGCTGAACCCCTTGCTTGTGTGCACCAAATGCAGGCAAGACACAATTGCTTGGCATTTTCACAATTGTTTCATGACAAATATTTTACAAACATTTTTACCTGAAATAGTCTTACAGCATCACAATTCCTTGGGATATAGGCTCTACATGTACTAAAATTAGTGCTGACCATATATCTAACTCTAAAGCTTTCACATTTCTACAGCTGTGCACTGAAATTGTTGCTGTGGTGTCAATGCCAGACACATTCAAAATAAGGTGTACATTTTGCAGTGTGGTGTATATGGTGTGCTTAAGCCAACTGCTCATATCTAGCTGCAGTAAATTTAAGGACAAGCAGATAAATGCTCTTTCCCACCTCACATAGAATCAAGGTGCAAAAAAACTGCAGTATCTTTGGTTTGATGCATCACAGTCAATTCACATAACATGGCAGATCTGACAGATTCTTATTAGGGCAGGGTTAGAACAAGAATTGATGTTTGGGGCAGGTTTTGAAAATCTTAGAACATGAATTTTATAATTGAGTAGCCATGTCATTTTAGGAGAAGCTTGTGGCATTATCAAACATGTACTGAGCTGGGGCAGAGGTTGGGCACAATCAGGGAATCCACTACAGTGTGTAAGGCAAAGGAGCAGCAAGTCATTAAGTCACATACAGTCAAAAGACCAAGTGCATTACATTTGTCTTAAAAGCATCATACATATCTTGATCACTGCCACATTATCCTGTCTGACCCTGAATGGGGCTGCTCACACAACATTACCATGGCTGGTATATAACCAATGGAATTAATGCCCAGACAAAAAGCACTGCACAAGCATGAATAATTTTGCTCACACCATCTCCTGCTGGTCCTACCAACTACGTAAACCAGCTGGAAATGTCTGCATGCCAGATGGGCCAGTGTCAGCAAGGCACTCAACAGTTAAAACACCTTGCTCACATTGAAAAATGGTTGACCCCTTTAAATAAATTAATTTTATAGCATAATAATCAGGTACAAAGCAATGGACATAATATTCAGTGTGATTTTGACCTATTTTATGCAGAGGTGGGGATGGTTCGCAATCAGAACTTGCAAGTAATTAGACCGTCAGTAAAACAGAAAATCTAAAAGATGTCCAAGGTTGTCAAATGATCAGACCCTGCCCCAAGCCAAGAATTTGGCTATCCCATTGGAGACATGATCAGGCCCGCACCAAATACATTGTCAACTGGTCTGCCACTTTTTGTAAACTGGCATAACAGCAAGACATCTACATGCAACCATGCCTACCATCTTCATCGGTCTTCTTATCCATCTTCATCGAAGCTTGGTTACGGACAAATTTCCGAACAATGCGTGTAAACACTCGGTACACCTAACCCCACAACGCTAGCTAAACGAAGCGGCGGCCCAGCCCGGAGCGCAATCAATCTCAGATATGTGTTCAAGCTGCGCTGAACGCAAAATGATCAGAGACATTTATTGCGCTTTCGAGACAGTATTCATGATGTTGTTGACACGTCAAAAAGAGAAGCAAGGGCGCTTTATTCTTGGGATTACTGGCTATGTGTGTTAATATAGAGAAACGTAATTTTTTTATAACAAAGTCTAATAGATAATTTTTTTACAAAACAACTGCTTGCTATTTTGTTGCTAACCATATGACCATCAAATGTGCAATGCGCACTAGCCCATTGACGCGCAAAGGTTACGGCAGCCATTGTTGTGCGCCTTTCTGGTACGTGTGTCGGCGTCCGATTGTGGTTCGTTTTATCTGTATGTTATGTTATCTGGGAAGCACATATACCCTGCATGAGTATAAGATAATGGTAGTAGTGAGGTCAAGTTAAATGAGTGCAGTGGCGTGAATGCTGTGGATGGTATCTCGGTTGGCCACATGCCAATCTTGCGAAAAATCCGGCCGCAGCCGGACGCCGAAATGCGACATCGGTGTCCATGATGCACGGGCTGTTTCTGCCTGAAATTACCCTTTAGACATAAATATTTTCCAACCGTGTGTGTGGGTTGACAGGTATCTTTTGTTTGAAGAGCATTGTACATGTGTAATCTTCTGTGAGGTAGCAAATATTGTAAATGGCATCAGGTGCATCTACACTCATTCCTTCAAACTTCAATATTTACAATAGCGAATGTCAGCATGCTCCAGAGATACAGCATTCTTGACGTGCAGCCACCATTGTTGTGATGTAATCAACTAGTCAACATGTAATTGCTGTGAGGATACATCATTTTAAAGAAAGTATGAAAAAATGGAGTTTAACCCAATGTAACCTTACCTAACCTTACCAAACTTACTAATTTGATGAAACCTAACTAAACATAATAGCCTAACTTAATTTAGCATAACTTATCTGTAGCATTGTTGCCTGACATCCCCCCCACCCTCCACTCAATCCCCTGCAACCTATGTCCTATTAGTGTTAGTGCCATCAATGTGACATCAAGATGTTTGAACAGCCTCTGCCATTCATGTAGTGGTCATGATATTTGAAGGGTAAGATAATATGATGTCCATGAAATGTTCATGTTTTATGAATGTTTATAGTGTAATATCTTGAAATAATCAATTGGCAAACAATTTCATATTGCGGCATTAGATACCAATGTATACCGGGAGCTAATCATGGCTTCTTTACCCTGTAATTGATGGTAATTGTATTGAGCAAAAACTGCTCCTCAGATTTATGGTGTGCACATACTGGACACATGATATTGGCTCTATGATAGATATATTCCAAGAAGGGTTATTTTCAGCTGCCAGAACCAATGTAATGTGCCTGTGGTGTCATTGTCCTGACTGCATGCGCCAGGCTTAAGTGCATTTAAATTATTGGAAGGGAAGTTGTTGTAATATAACAAGCTGCCAGGAGACCTTGGCAAGAGCACCACCCATTGAAGGTACCAGTCACTTTGACCAGCAAGTCCATGCAACCGAGTGGTCGTATGTGGATGTGACATAGTTGGAAAACATCTTTTGATGTCAAGATTGTTATAGCCTGTAATTCATATGGTGTTTTGATTACTTGTAAGGCTGGAAATACCCTCTGTTGGATTGTACATAGCTGATTCATATGATTCTTGCACCATTCAAAATATTATTCTAGGCAACATAGCTATTCATTTTGTCCCATTCCTGTCAGCAGCAAAATCTGCAGATTTTTAGCACAACAGTTTAGTCATATAGCACACTGTCCAAGCACCCCAACTTTGTGATAGTGACAGCACACAAATTTCCCTCTGCCTGGACCTTTCATGACAGGCTTGTAGATAGAAGGTTTTAGGTTTAAAGGTTTTAGCTTTAGTGCTTTGATTACAACCACAGAGGAGCAGCTTTTTTGGACCATTGTCTGTCTGGCTTTGGCAGAAGCCTTGCTGTGTGTCATCTAATGTTATTGATCTTAATTACAGAGTGCACTTATTGATAATCAGTAATCAAAATTCTTAAGATTTTCCCAGTAGCAGAGTAAAATGTTCCAAAATAGAGTAAAAAAAATTCAGGTGTTGGGAGTCATCACACTTTTATTTAGTATATTGTTGGAGAATTACAGTACAAGAATGGTGTCCAACAAAGGGCCAATTTGTATACAGCAATTCATGTGAAAACACTGAATGAAAGAGACCATCAGTATTAAACATGACACATTGGAACAACACAGTCTGAGACTTAGACATAAAATACATGTGTATTATACAGGGGTGAGCAATCTGCAGAAGAATGGAGTGTTGCATAAGGTATTATGCATTCTACTTACATTAAGATCAGATGTACTATAGGCATAGCTGCAGCATAGTGTATTAAGATCAACTGTCCTGATGTCAAGGCTGGCCAATGCCAGCAAAGTTGCTTTTTTGCTTTCAAAGCTATCACTGTTTTTTTTACATTTTGATGTGGTTTGTAACATTTTCAGGGATTGTTCCTGTCTACACATCAGTAATCATGGCCACACGCAACTGGAACCTGGAGTGCAAGGTCTATGTTGGTAATCTTGGCAACAGTGCTGCCAAGAATGAGCTGGAGTCTGCATTCAGCAAGTATGGCAACTTGAGAAATGTCTGGATCGCGCGCAATCCGCCCGGCTTTGCGTTCGTCGAGTTCGAGGATCCGCGTGACGCCGAAGACGCCGTCCGCGGCCTGGATGGCACGTGAGTGGACCATCTTTGGGGCTCTCTGGCTCTCTGGTGTTTGTGCGGCATGTTTTGCTGGAGATAAATGGTCCTGATTGGTGCACCATTCATCTCATTCACACCTGATTGCCTCTCTTGGATGCGGGCCATTCTTCTGTCAAGGGGTCATTGTGACTAGTTTGTTTTGTTTACATAGATACAGGTACGTTGTCTAGTTCGTACCCGCGCATTGTGGAACGGCAGCACAGCGGGGGGCTGGGCTGAGCTCTGCGACCTCCCACAGCCGGCTTTGCGGTGAGCGGATTCGCGTTGAGATGTCGTCTGGCAAGAGTCGGAACCGCGGCGGCATGCGCGGCGGCGTGTCCAACAGGTCAGTGATGGGCGACGGCGCGCCTCCGCCGCCGCCGCCGCCGCCTGTCGGGATCGCAAACCAGTGTCATTGCCTTGAGCCGCGTGTGTGTGCGTGTGAAGCGGACCCCGGTCGGCGACAGGTGTGGACGCGCCGGCCTGTGTGCTGTGTATGGTTTGTGCGGCCACTCCCTAACGCGACGATGCCGTCTTACAGATCTCCAACTTCACTCTACCACCCCTTGCCTCCGCCCATCACACACGGCCTTGTGCGGGTCACGTGACGGTCAGGTGACCCTTGACCGGACGTGACCCGGCCCATCGTGGGACTCTCGGCTCACCCCCAACTTGCATCTCACACATCTCGTCGCATCGCGCCGTATCGTTCGTTATACGTAATTGGCTGCATTAGCTACGTACCTACTTGCTTCGTGGGCCGCTCATGCTCCGCTCCTCGACACTTCGCTCCCTCCGCTTAAATCCGAAGCAAGTAAGTATGCTCGTCGGCCGGTACGTGTGCGTTTGTTGGATGCTGTCGGAGAGGCGGGAGCCGTGTTGCCGTACCTGACACGCGAGTCACTGTCCTTTGAGGCGGGTGAGGTTCGCTAAGCCGTGTGGAGCGCTCATAAGCTGCCTGTTCCTGTCCTCTTGCGTGGGGCCCTGTGGGGAACAGGTCGTGCGTGACGTGAACCAATGACAACCGCTCGGGTCGTCTTTCAGAAGGTCCTGACGTCAACTCACACTTTAGAGCTGTCCGTTGTAGACACTTCACGTCTGTCCAGTATGATGATTGAAACAAAGCAACACGCCTCTCCCGGTGGGTTTGGAGCACTTGACACCAGTTCTCGTTTTCAGTTCGGATATTCACATTCCTTTGGGTCGTTGTTGCGCCAAAGTAAGGTCCATCCAAGCGCGCGACTGTCCCTGCGCGCCGCGCCGCGCCGCGCCGCGCCGCGCCGTGGCGAGCGGGCGCGGAGGTGTGTGCGCGAGCCGTGCGGACGGTGGCGTGCGCGCCCGTCCGGCGGGCCTGGCCGCCGTCTGACGCCGCTGGCCCGTGCGCGCAGGTCGCCCGGACGCCGCTCCGTGTCGCCGCGGCGCCGCTCGCGCAGCCGCAGTCCGCGCGGCTCGCCCGTCTACGACCGCTACAGGAGGTGAGAGATGGAGCGGAGGCTGGATAGAGGCTCGCGGCACGACAGCGAACTGAGACCAGCTGGCCCGGCCGGGCCCGGCGCGACAGACTACCGGCGGCTGGGGTGTCACTTTTTATGCTACGGAGGGTGGCCTACCCCCCCCCCCCCCCATGCTGACTTGAGCTCCCAATGATGACTTGGGCCCCCAATATTGCCCTGGCCCTTAATGCATATGAACAAAGAAGGAATCCTGGGCCAAATAACTAAATAAATGAATATATATATATATATATATATATATATATATATATATATATATTAACCATTGTAGCTATTAGTATGCTAGGTGGTCGGTAGCCTGGCACATCACTTGTAGCTTTGCAATAATTTTCCAAATAGTATCTTGTGGGTACCCAATGATTTTATCATACTAAGTTCTACATCTGTTAAGCCAGTCTGCATATGCTTGACAAGTTGTTTCAGATAATGCACCCAGATTGAGATCAAGTTTAATTGGCTGCAATATGTGACAGTATTTCAAAGTACAGATTGACCCAGAAATAAGTAACCGCACATTTCCCCAACAGTGGCAAATGTGTTTATTGCGTAATCGTGTTTGAGGTAGTTATGCAAACATGATCAGGTGATAGCAGCAGCCATCAGTGTTCCCTGACTTGTATTTCTCAGGTGTGTTTCTGTGACTTGTACCCCACTTGAAGCTTCTCATAACAACTCACACTGCTTGAAATGGAAGGCATTGCTCTGCAGGAAAACGGGCATGGATGTACAACATATTAAGGTTTTTTATTGTACTATTGAGGACGAAAACTCAAGTGGTCGAAATCAGGAAAGACATCAGGTTTTGGGAGAGGTCACAACCCTTTCAGCGGAGCCCCTGATTGATTTTGGAAAGCGGTGCCCCTGACTGATTTTATCTGGCTTTACTTCCATGTGCTGCGCAGGTGTGCAGGTGGTTTGCTGATGGCTTTATGGTGAACAACACCAGTGCATGTCCTGTATGTAAGGCACCCATATAAGCCTGCATGCTTTTACTTTGTCTAAAGCCATTTAAACTCATAGGCTCTGTGGTGAATGACACTAGTGTAATTCCTGATATGAGCAGGTACCCATCTGAATCAGTATGCCAAATAGGCGACGTGACTGCTCTACCGCCCTATCACCCAGCCACACCAGCCAAGGTCTCTTGTGCCAACATGGAAGATGTTGACGTTTCAAACTACCAACGTCTCCTATGTCGCCAGGTCGAACAGCCGCGACTAGAGATGGCGCCGCCGACAGCCGCGACTAGCGGTGGCGCCGCAGACGGCGGTGTAGCCGCCCGCCAGCGTCGGCCCGCCCCGCCGGCACCTCCTCCAGGCTCTGCCCTCTCCGTCCCCCTGCCCACTCGTGCAGCGTTCGTGGTAACCGCGCATAACGTGGTGTTCATACCCCCCCACCCCCCCCCCCCCCCCCCCCCCCCCCCCCCGAGAAAGGCGGCGCTGGTTTCGTGTCTTGCATACCTGCGATGTCTCGAATTTAATTGTGCGCGGCATGTGTTTGGTTGTGTGAGGGCAGGTGAAGATGTAGCCTTGGTGGCATTCCATTCCATATGTATTTCGAGTGCGCAGCGAAAATAAACGCTTTTCGAATTAATGTTACTTTTGAAACTCGCCGATGTCGGGTCAGTCTCCATGCCAAAGGGATCCATGAGCGCAAACACTCGCGGAGGCTCCCACGGTTGCTGTGCACGTTTGTTGGGTTTGTAACACCATGCGTATTTGATGCGACAGGGTACATCTGCTGCCCTAAATTGTAGAAACGTACGACGCGCATTTTCTTGAGCATCGTCGAGAGAGGTGCATCATCCGCGTCTTTTACTCCAGAGGTTCTCGAACGAATGCGTAGGTTGCCGTAACATCCCACCGCAGCGCGTTGACCATGTGTAGTGAATCCGCCCAAGGCGCTACGGTGTGGTGGTCAGTGTCGGCTAGCTGATCATAATCCCGCCGGCAGTAGCGCCGGGTGTCGTCTCTATGACGTCATTCGGGACCGTTCCGCCTGGACTGCGTGGCATCACGTGTGTCTAGTCATGGATAGCTAATGTGAGGGATCGAGTCGCGCCGCTCAAGCAAATACGTCAGACTCGTTATTTTCACTTCTAGGAAACGGGTCAGTCCAGCCTAGCCATCCATTTGGCCCGGAAACCAAAATTAATTATTCGGCTTCAATGATGGGCTGCCATCATCGACGTGGTTCCGTGCATGCCTTGGGTAGTCTCCGTCTCAGCATCAAACATGCATTGTTACGCTAGCCGAGTTCTGGGGTCGTAAGGCAACCCCGCGGTCTAGTAGGGTTATCCAACCAGCTCTGCCGTTCGCACATGGCATGTACATTTCTTATAGGATGGTCATTACGTAATATAACAACATTTTCGCCTTGCCTGGTCGTAGCTATTTCCCTTCGAGCATATGTAAAGCGTGCCGTCTGGTGCGGGGGCATTCGAAAAGTTGGGCTACGAGATTGAATGCATCACAAGTCTTGCCGTCGGTGCTGGTGGTTCGTACGGGCGCTGTAAGAGGTGGCTACTTGTAAACATGGTTGGGTGACTCGCTCAGCCATTTCCACCAAGTAGTCATTCACCAGTCTGCGACACTGGGAAATACAAGATTTCAATTCGGAAGACATATCTCTGATCGACTTACGTAATGCTTTGGCGTGAACCAAGGCTCTACTACAGGGTGCTGCATTTCAAACGTCAATTTTAAAAACGCTGCGAGACGTACACAACCTATTGATGGAAAAATTGTATCACGTTAATTAAACATTTGGACATTTTCATTTTTTGTGTTCATCTGTCTAGCAAGACGCCTCTGCGACGGGTCCCTGAACACCAACGCGCGAACGAACTCGAGCGCGCCGCCCCGAACTCCTGACTGACCCACACCTTAAAACCACCACGATGAAGCACCGCACCTCACCTGTTAGTGTCTGGCGAATGCGGTGTCTAGCCGCTGAGCGTAGGGATACAGGCTCGCAGCTCTAGCTCACAGATCACGAGGATTGAAAGACATCAAGCTTAATGGCCGGCGATTACAGCACCGCTGTCAGGTGGTGCATGCTTGGCCTGTTTTTAGTATTCTTGCTTGCGCGTTTGAAATTGACAGTTCAAGCGAGACGCCCACATCTGCTACACCGCTGCGAGACAAGTTAGCGGTGGTTACTCGGGAGTACGGATGTCCAGGTCTGTTAGCGGTGATTACTCAGGTGCACGGGCGTCCAGGTCTGTTAGCGGTGGTTACTCAGGTGTACGGATGTTCAGGTCTGGTGGCGGTGGTCATTCAGATGTATGGGTGTACAGGGTCTAGTAGCGGTAGTTACCCAAATGCACAGATGTCCAGGTCTGTTAGCGGCGGTTAATCAGGTGTATGGATGTTCAGGTCTGTTGGCGGTGGTTACTCATGTGTACGGATGTCCAGGTCTGTTAGTGGTGGTTATTCAGGTGTACAGGGTCTAGTAGCGGTGGTTGCTCAGGTGTACGGATGCCCAGGTCTGTTAGCGGTGGTTACTCAGGTGTACGGATGTCCAGGTCTGCTAGCGGTGGTTACTCAGGTGTGCGGATGTCCAGGTCTGTTAGCGGTGGTTACTCAGGTGTACGGATGTCCAGGTCTGCTAGCGGTGGTTACTCAGGTGTGCGGATGTCCAGGTCTGTTAGCGGTGGTTACTCAGGTGTGCGGATGTCCAGGTCTGCTAGCGGTGGTTACTCAGGTGTACGGATGTCCAGGTCTGGTAGCGGTGGTTACTCAGGTGTGCGGATGTCTAAGTCTGGCGTAAGCCACAAGGACACCAGTCCGGTGAGTTTATCTGCTCGTTCGCAGCAACAGCACACAAGCTTTGAATAATTCCGTATATATTAATACATTTTCCCGCCACACCGTTTGTTACATTGCATGCGACCCCTACTGACCCGCGATGGTTGCGTGGCACAGACTACCGTGTGGCGAGGAGGCGCACAGACGCGATTTGTTACCGTGCATCGCCCAGGGCATCGCTCACGGGTCGCCCGCGCGGCGAGCACGGAGTAGTAAAGCTTCTGTAGGCAACATTCCGGCCAGTGTCTTCAATACTGGGACTAGACATCCAATATCAGCTGCTCGACCGGACAAAATCGCACCCCAGCAGTTACGTAACAGACAGCACACCCGCCGCGCCTGTGTCGCGCCAGCCGATCGCGTGACGTCACAACACTATTGGAAGGGATGATGTGTAGCTGCAGCGGCGACGCGGCGGCGCGGGCCGTCTTCTGCTGGCGGAGATCGCGGCACCCACGCCGATACACTGAACGACACAATGGCTAGCTGACACGCTGCCCCCCGACAAACGGACAGACAGGCGGGACATCCCGCCCCGCGAGGGAGAGCCGCGTCACAGCCGTCCTCGCGCCGGGCGGCGCAGCGGCGACTCAAGTAACCGCCGGCCGACGCTGGACTGCGGCCATCTCGTATAAAGATCACCACACCCGCTGGCGCCGGTCAGCAACGCCGTCACAACCTCACTCTAACGAATCAAGCGTTATGGTAAGGTGCCGCGTGAGTTTAGAAAGCAGTCGCGGACATGAGAACAACAAAATCCGAGTGATCACAATACACGTATTAAATATCCTCCAATATCACTTCACAGCTGCGTTTGTGTCAAAACCGCACCGCGCGGCTCACAATGACAACACTAATCTCGATCGTTCACAGTCAACGACACCGCCTCACCACCCCACGTCCGTCAGTCCTCGATGCTTTTGTGCTCTAGAGATCTGCACGTCTTGCGATAAACGATGGGCCAGACCGAGGCTCCGCCCCGCCACGCCCTCCTCCAGGTGCGGTTGGCGGGTCGGGCGGGGCGAAGAGGGACGCCCCGCGGCTCCGCGCGCCGCCGCATCAGTGGCCCTCGCGCGTCACCTGCACCGTCTTCTCCACCAGCACGGCCAGCACCTTGTCCAGCGGGTCCATCGAGCCGCGCTGAAGCCACTTGGGGATGGTGCTGCGCGCGTGCCGAAAGCCCAGCTTGTTCAGGATGAAGTCCACGCCGTACGGCTCGATGCGACGCCCCGCCCATGACAACAGCCTGGCCAATCAGAGCACGTTCAGCACGCATGCCCCGCGCACGACACTGCCACAACTACAGCGCAGGCGAGACATCCCGCCATATCAGACAATACTCTCAACACCCACGCGTCCACGCACGCACACGGAAACGGCAAGCTGTTAGGAAGGTCGATGACACAATGAACCAGTAATTTTACACCCATAAAGTACCACCTCAACGCGCTGCTACGGCCCGGCCCGTTCACTGGATGACCAATCCTCATCCCAACTACTGGCGGCACTGGCCAACTGACTGGGGTCTCACCGGACAGTACGCTCCAGGTGTCAGGTGCAACACTGACGGTGCCTCACTCACCTGACGGTGGACTCCAGGTGCAACACTGACGGTGCCTCACTCACCTGACGGTGGACTCCAGGTGAAACACTGACGGTGCCTCACTCACCTGACGGTGGGTGCCAGGTGCCAGGGACGACATTGACGGTGCCTCACTCACCTGGCGGTGGGCTCCAGGTGCCAGGGACGACACTGGCGGTGCCCCACTCACCTGACGGTGGGCTCCAGGTGCCAGGTGCGACACTCGAACTCGCGCCAGTCCTGCTGCAGCATCTGTGTGGGGTCATTGACCTTGTGCTCGCCGTCGGACGCGGTGAGCGAGGCGCTCGGCCGGGCGGCGGCGGCCACTCCGTTCGCCGCCGCCGCCATCGCCGGCACCGACGGTGTCGGGTCGGGCCGGTTCTTGGAGGGCTGTGGCGCGGGCGGTGCTGGTTAGGCAAAGTCGGACTAAACACGCCCGGCGAGCTCGCCCCCGCTGGTGGTAACGCACCCCACAGACGTGCGGAAAGGCGTTCGCTGTTGGCGTTTCAAGGGGCGTGTAGCAGCTCCGTGAAGAATTTAAGTGTTAAGTGTCCCTGATGGCATTAAAGGCTGACTGAAGCTCGTTCATCACGATCACACAACTGCTTACGTATACGGCTCAGCAACAACAAAATCATAGCAACAGTGACATGCCTGATATGCCGGCTATAAACAGCAGGCGCCGGTTTGTGTCAGTTTGGTGGCGCCTGGCTGTGATAAGGCGGCGGGCGCGTGCGTCGCAGGCGCACCTGTTTGTCGGAGGCGCGAGAGCGGCCGGCACCGTCCGGCTGGCGGCTGATGTACGTGTCGATCAGGTCGTGCAGAAAGAAAAAGTTCTCGGCGTCCGTCGTCACGAAGATGTGGTCCTCAAACTCGGTCACGAAGCTGCACACCACCACCGGCTTGGGAGCTGCGGACGGCCGGACCACGTCAGTTCCAGGGACGAGTCGCAGACCTGCGTTCGCTGACCGATCATTTCAAGGCAGTAGCATCGACCCTAGTTGCGGATCCACGCAACTTTACACCATGTACCAAAGCAACTTAGTGCATTAACATCCCCTGATCCGCCCGCCACGTCGCCTGCTGACTCTGACCCGTCTCTCTCCCGTGCGTCCCCCGGCGGCCTCGCGCCGGCCATGACCGCTGCCGACCCTGATCCGCTTCTTCTATGCCCCCCCTCCCCCCCCCCCCCCCGGCAGCCTTACACTGACGATGACCGCTACCGACCCTGACCCGGCCTTTTCACGTGCGTCCTCCTCCTCCCACCGGGCGGTCCCGCACCGGCCATGACCGCTGCCAACCCTGCCCCGCCTTCCCCCGTGCCCCCCCCCCCCCTCCGGCCAGCCCCGCACCGCCCGCAACGCACCGGCCATGTCGGGCTCGGCGCCCGTCTGCGTGTGCTCCGTCTTCAGATGCATCTGCATGGGTGGCAGGGCGAACACGATCTCGGCCGTGTGGTTGTGGTCGTGCAGCCGGGGCGTCTGCGGCGGCGGGCTGGCCTGGCCGGAGCGCGACTGGCGCCGCTCCCCGCTGCCGGCGCCGTCCGCCGCCGGCCGCTCCAGGCTCGGGAACCGGTCCACCTCGTCCAGCTCGCTCGTGCTGAACGTGTAGTGGAACCACTCCTGGCGGCGGGGCGGCGCGGTCACAGCGCTGGTCGCTGGCTCTTCAGGGCTGGGGAGCTGACACTTCGCTACATACCGAGCAACGCTTCAGCACGAGAGCATAGTGGCTGGCGGCTGGAACGGACTTGACGCAAGGAAGCAATTTCGAACACAAGTCATTACAAACATAAATGCATCTGCTGGTAATGTGCTTCCCTGTCCATCCATAGACCCCTTCCACCAGCCAGTGTGCCCAGCGGCCAACGGCAGGGAGCGACCCAAATGACGTCGAACGCAAGGTACATGCAAGACAACCCGAAGGCAGCCAAACCGAGCGCCGCAGCGACGGCTCCAAAGGGCGCCTCAGCACTAGTTCCAGCCAACGCCTCGGAGGCGGCCGGCTGGGCGGCGACCGTACCTGCATAGTTCGGAACTGCGGAGGGAACAGGATGGTGCGCGTGACGCGGCACACGGTGGCCATGCTGACGTGGCGCGCCGTCGGCTGGTGCGACAGCAGGCCCAGGCTGATCGACAGCGTCTCCACCACGTGCACGTCCGGCGGCACTGGCGACACGCGCGGACACGGCGCGTCAGGCGGCGTCAGGCGTCAGGCGTCAGGCGTCAGGAGTCAGGCGTCAGGCGGTCGTCTGACAGTCAGCAGTCATCAGTCGCACGGTCCGGGAATCGGCAGGCAGCGCAGAGCTAACATGACGGAGGACTGTCGGAACAGGATCACCGCGCGCTCTCAGAGTTGCAAACCGTAGCATTCAATAACACGTTTCCACGGTGCCCATTCTCTTTGAGTGGCACTCATGAATCGCTAAGACGACATGCAAGTCCCTTCCCGACCAGACAACCACCCGAACAAGAAGAAAACAAGACCCTGCAATGCAATAAACAATGCTATGAGCAAAACAATACTGACAAGGCGTGGTCGCCATTGTGATCCGAACTAAAGCGGTGGTTTATCCTCACCAAGCCCGTCTTTCCGGCACATCACTCGATGCCCGTCTTCATCTGCTGCCTCCTGGTGACTTTAAGACGCGCCTGGACCCCATCTCCGTCCTGCGGCGTCTCGCCGTCCGTCTCAGGCTCCCAGCTCTCGCTCGAGGCTGGGAGATCGGAAAGTCGACGGACTCACCTCCGGTCTCGATCTCCTGGCTCTCGGTCGAGAACGAGATGTTGGGCTCGCGCAGGCTGAAGAGCGCCCAGCTCTTCGACTTGAAGTTGAGGCCGTGGAAGCAGGCGAGAGAGATCGTCTGGCCGCGCATCTCGATGGTGCCGCCCAGCACGGTGCCCGAGGGCGGCAGGCGCGTCATGAACGTCTTCAGCTTGAGCCCGGCCACCAGGCGCAGCGCGTCGTGCCAGTGCCGGTGGTGGCGCGTGTCGCTCTGCTGTTGGGCCGTCTCCTGCAGCACTGCAGGAGCGCCACCGGCGGGTGAGCGGGCCGGACTTGATGCCTGAGTGGCGCGCAGGAGCGGCCACTTCGCCCCCTGGTGCGGGGCGGCCGCCCGGCCCGGCCGCCAGGGGGTGAGACAAAGGCAGGGAGTGATACCTGTTTCGTCACGCGCCCGCATAGCTCCAACTTGTTACTGTCTCTGCGAACTCGCGACACAACAGCCGTCTACAATGTCACCATAGCAAATTCCTTCCCCGTCAACAGATAAGTATTTCGGCATCCTCGCAATACAGAAAAGCGCGCAAAGCGACTAAACGACGACAAAGGTTGACATAACACACACAACAAACTCCATCAGCGCCGGGGGCTGCCCTGCTCGACGCCCCGCCCGGGACCGCGCCCGCATCCGGCTCAACGCACCCTCGGTAAGGCGGCGGTGTTTGGTAGTGCGGCGGCGCAGACTGGCCGACTTGGACGAGCTCGGCCGCTCGTTCAGACCGATTAGCACGCGGCGTGAGCTCTGGAACTGCTGTAGGAAGAACTCCTCCAGCTTGCTGTACATCTTGATCAGGTCGGTGGTTGTCGACTTGGAGATCATGAGCTGCATCTGGTCCCAGGACACCTCCGTGTGGATGAAGATCATGGCGGGCCTGTCGACGGACCGGCAGACATGTCCGTGGCTTAACAGACAAGCCAGCTCGCCAGGGCCGGTATCGCCACCTATCACTCCAAGTCATACTCAGTATTCGCTTGCCCGCCGCCCATCAGACAAAGCTCTAAACCCCAAGCGGCCACACCACGCCCAGAAAATTGACACGACTTCAAAGGCATTTACCAGCACAACTTCTCACAGAACCAGTAGATGGTCCGCAAGCACCACGCGAGTCCCCGCAAAACAACACGCCCATCTGAGCATCGGCTGCATCCCACAGCGGCCTGACAAGCACCGGCCGCATCCCACAGCGGCCCGACGAGCACCGGCCGTATCCCACAGCGGCCTGCCGAGCACCGGCCGCATCCCACAGCGGCCCGACGAGCACCGGCCGTATCCCACAGCGGCCCGACGAGCACCAGGCGCATCCCACAGCGGCCCGACGGACACCGGCCGCCAGCAGCCGTGTCTCCCTGCGCCGCGCCTCACCTCTTGGTGCCCTCGGCCTCGTTGTCGGCCATCTGGGCTGTGATCCGCCACTCGTCTCGCAGCGTGGCGTCCAGCGCCGACACGCGCCCCATCAGCACCGACGTGCCCATGTAGTCGAGCCGCAGCTCCAACGTCTGCAGCCGCAGCCCCACCGTGTGGCTGGGCTCCACGCCCGGGTCCTCCAGGATGCGCACTGCGCACGCCGGCGGGCCGGGCCGGTAAGCGGGAGACGGCCCCACACGCCGACCGCAGAGCAGGGACCAGCTCGGCGGCCGACACCATGCGCGCCCCGTGTGCGCGTCTGGGGCTGCTTACACGACTGGTACCAAGTCCGGAACGACTGATTGCGTTTGCATACAGCCACTCGGTTAATTCAACGATGCTTCACCGCGAGTACGTCCAGTTACACCCACTGAGAGAAATCTGGTAATGGGCAAATTAACATTTCAAGTACAACATGACGACATACGTGATCTCCAGGGCGAAATCACAACACGCGAGCGAACTCAGCACCGCTCGTCCTCCGACCACCGCCCAGGTTCACGGCCGCCGGCGACACTCACGGTAGGTGTCGATCTTGCCGACCTCGACGTTGCCGCCGACGATGCCGCCTTTGGCCTCGAGCGAGGAGCCGCCCAGGCCCAGCGAGATGAACATGTTCTTGTGGCCGGTGCTGCCGATCGAGAGCCGTCCCTCCGACGTGAAGCCGTTCGTTTGCCACCTGGAGTAGCGAGGCCAGTCAGAGGGTCAGTCAGAGCGTCAGTCGGAGGGTCAGTCAGAGCGTAAGTCAGATGGTTAGTCAGGGAGTCGGCCAAAGGGTCCGTCTGAGGGTCAGTTGAGCATCAGTCAGGTGGTAAGTCAGAGGGCCACTCAGAGGGTCGGCCAAAGGGTCCGTCTGAGGGTCAGTTGAGCATCAGCCAGGTGGTAAGTCAGAGGGTCACTCAGAGGGTCGGTCAGAGGACCCGTCAGCGTTCTTCAGGACAGTGCGTTTCGGATCATTAAAAAGAAACAAAACTTAACATGGGGCTCATAGCAGCACAATTAAAGCAGGTTGGCCGGGAGAACGCGGCAGAACAAGATCAAGAGAGATGTAGTCGGCGGCGGTCCGAGATACTATGGCCAAACCTGACTGGCTTCCGCCGGCCCCATGCCGCGCTGAATGTGAGGTAAGGTTTGTATAGAAGCAAATGCCGTATGGTCGGGATTTTTACACAGCTTTTTTACATTGCGAAGTCTGTTCCACTCGTCAGAGGGCAAAGGGCATAACGTGGGTCTCCATCTCATGCGCCGAAACTGGAGAAATGCGCAAAACTCTTTGGGAAGTACCTAAGAACATGTTTTGAACGGTGGACAGACGCCGAATAGCGGAAACGACAACGAAGAAAATCCAGCCCCTCCGCTCACTAACACAAAAGAGGTCACCATCCAATCATGACAAGCGACACCAGTACAAATTACAGCACAACATTCAACCAATTGCGTCGGGCCTCCTGTTCACCATGACATACATAGGGCCCCGTAAGGCCTGTCAAACATTGCCGTGGCCGACGGTATTTCACGTCGTCCCGGCGGGGTATTGGGTAAAGTTTTCAACTAGCAATAACAGCACCTCGGATAGACCTCATTGGTTACTGTATCGCCACTGCGCAAAGCTGACTTCCGACGCCTGGCCAAAGGGTATGTCTAAACCACTCCCCGTCTCTCGTGTGAGACATCACCTGCGTACCGGTCGCTGAACGGCTGGCAGCGGCCCTGCCAGCCGTCATCCGGACCAGAACGGATGCCGTTTTTGGCCCCTGTGATCTCCCACACTATGACGCGGTGCATTTGATGAATCTACAGCAATTGAGGTGTTTTGTTTCACTCCAAACGGGATAATGAACAGGAGCCATCTAGCGGCCGGGTCACACACTTCACCCCAATTATAACGCCCACCAGCGCCGCCTGGTGGCAATGACCTGCAGTAGTGCTTTCAGTTCGGCCAGCACTTGTTACCGATTACGACACGGCATCTGTGACGCGACGCCTACGACGAGGCCCCTGGTATGACACACGCCGAGCGGGACTCCTGCTCCAGCGCTCAGACTGACAGCCCCGCACCGCACCGGCCCGTAATACCAGACCACGCCACTCCGTAACACGGCCCCACAGGCTGTCACACGCTGTCATGGAATGTCACGTCGCCCTGTGCCAGTCCCCTTCATCCCCCCCCCCCTCCCACCTCCAGCCTGGTGTGCGGACGGCGCGCCGCGCGCCCCACTCACGTGACGTTTCCCATGACGTTGCCCATGTTCATGTGGACGTTCAGCTTGGTGAAGTTGACGGCGAAGAGCACGAGCGTCTCCCAGGAGGACGGCACGTTCACAGAGTTTCCGGTCGGCGGTAGCACGGGGTCCAGACTCAGCCGCCTCTGCAACACTGCGGAACACGGCGGCACGTGGTGTCACACAGCGTCACATGGTGGCACATGGTGCCGCCCTGCGTCACACGGTGTCACACTACATGGTGTCACACAGCGCCACACTGCATCACATGGTGCCACACAGCGTCCACGGCGTCGCACGGTATCCCATGGTGTCGTATGGCGAAAGACGGCGTCACATGTGTCACAGCATCGTGTGCCGTCACACACCGTGACCATAAATGCTGCATTGCTGTTACGTGGAGCCACACTCCGCTACCTCGCATTACATATACACATACTGATGCCTGGCGTCACGCGCTGTCTTGCGCCATAAGACACTACATGGCATAAATGGGCGTCGATCGACGTCACATGGTGTCACATGGTGTTGTCTGGCAACACCAGACCGCACCACTCCGTAACACGGCCCCACGTGTTGTCACACACTCCCATGAGGCGTCACGTCGCCCAGCGTCGCCTCAATCTCATGAAATGTCACGTCGCCCAGCGTCGCCTCAGTCTCATGAAATGTCACGTCGCCCAGCGTCGCCTCAATCTCATGAAATGTCACGTCGCCCAGCGTCGCCTCAGTATCATGAAATGTCACGTCGCCAGCGTCGCCTCAAATCTCATGAAATGTCACGTCGCCCAGCGTCGCCTCAATCTCATGAAATGTCACGTCGCCCAGCGTCGCCTCAATCTCATGAAATGTCACGTCGCCCAGCGTCGCCTCAATCTCATGAAATGTCACGTCGCCCAGCGTCGCCTCAATCTCATGAAATGTCACGTCGCCCAGCGTCGCCTCAGTCTCATGAAATGTCCACGTCGCCCAGCGTCGCCTCAGTCTCATGAAATGTCACGTCGCCCAGCGTCGCCTCAATCTCATGAAATGTCACGTCGCCCAGCGTCGCCTCAATCTCATGAAATGTTACGTCGCCCAGCGTCGCCCAATCTCATGAAATGTTACGTCGCCCAGCGTCGCCTCAGTCTCATGAAATGTCACGTCGCCCAGCGTCGCCTCAATCTCATGAAATGTCACGTCGCCCAGCGTCGCCTCAATCTCATGAAATGTCACGTCGCCCAGCGTCGCCTCAGTCTCATGAAATGTCACGTCGCCCAGCGTCGCCTCAATCTCATGAAATGTCACGTCGCCCAGCGTCGCCTCAGTCTCATGAAATGTCACGTCGCCCAGCGTCGCCTCAATCTCATGAAATGTCACGTCGCCCAGCGTCGCCTCAATCTCATGAATGTCACGTCGCCCAGCGTCGCCTCAGTCTCATGAAATGTCACGTCGCCCAGCGTCGCCTCAGTCTCATGAAAGTCACGTCGCCCAGCGTCGCCTCAATCTCATGAAATGTCACGTCGCCCAGCGTCGCCTCAGTCTCATGAAATGTCACGTCGCCCAGCGTCGCCTCAATCTCATGAAATGTCACGTCGCCCAGCGTCGCCTCAGTCTCATGAAATGTCACGTCGCCCAGCGTCGCCTCAATCTCATGAAATGTCACGTCGCCCAGCGTCGCCTCAGTCTCATGAAATGTCACGTCGCCCAGCGTCGCCTCAATCTCATGAAATGTCACGTCGCCCAGCGTCGCCTCAATCTCATGAAATGTCACGTCGCCCAGCGTCGCCTCAATCTCATGAAATGTCACGTCGCCCAGCGTCGCCTCAATCTCATGAAATGTCACGTCGCCCAGCGTCGCCTCAATCTCATGAAATGTTACGTCGCCCAGCGTCGCCTCAATCTCATGAAATGTCACGTCGCCCAGCGTCGCCTCAATCTCATGAAATGTTACGTCGCCCAGCGTCGCCTCAATCTCATGAAATGTTACGTCGCCCAGCGTCGCCTCAATCTCATGAGATGTTACGTCGCCCAGCGTCGCCCCACGGCACACATCTTCGCCAGAAGCCATGTCACCTGCCGTGTGTTAGCTGGCGTTACGTTACGCTACCACGCTGCATCTCATGGGCTTAAGCAGCATCACAAAACCCCACGATTCACCACAGGGCGGCAGCACTACGCGGCGTTATACGTCACATAACACGCGATTGACATTTTGCATGACATCACATATCGCCAAAGCGGCGGACAGCTCTGCGTAACGCCACGCGTCACAATGCGTCACAGTGCGCCCCGCCAAGGCTCGGTGAGGGCGTGGATAGCCTTTCTGACCACCGCCCGGCCACCAGCTGGGATGGCCGCCACACCGTGACGGGGAGGTGGATCTCACGTGCCACGTACGGTACCGACCCCTGGGGGACGGGGGGGGGGGGGGAGGGCGTCCAAGGACTGCAGTCCTGCACCACGGCCACATGCTTGCTGTCGTTGCTGCAGCGTTCCGCAGTACACTGGGTCACCACTCCATCTGTCACCCGGCAGTGTGCTGGGCCGGGATCTCCCCTATCACCAGTGCAATTGATCTATCCCTCTTACCGCGCCATTTGTCAAGCCTCTCCATGTATCTTACGATGCGGTGTGTTGCCTCCCATCCTTCCATGCAGTTTGTCTTGCCCTTCTTCCTCCTTCCCCATGCAGTTATCATCTCTCTCCACCCATCTCACCATGGGATTTGTCGAGTCTCTCGCTCTCACCGTGCAGTCTGTCGCCCCTCCGCACCCCTTCGCCGTGCAGTCCATCGCGTCCCCGCACCCTCTCACAGAGCAGTCTGTCGCGTCCCCGCACCCTCTCACAAAGCAATCTGTCGAGCCTCCGCACCCTTTTGCCGTGCAGTCTGTCGCCCCTCCGCACCCTCTCACCGTGCAGTCTGTCGAACCTCCGCACCCTTTCGCCGTGCAGTCTGTCGCCCCTCCGCACCCTCTTACCGTGCAGCCTGCCGAACCTCCGCACCCTTTCGCCGTGCAGTCTGTCGCCCCTCCGCACCCTGTCACCGTACAGTCTGTCGCCCCTCCGCACCGTCTCACCGTGCAGTCTGTCGCCCCTCCGCACCGTCTCACCGTGCAGTTTGCTGGGCCGTGGCCGGACCTCAGCGCCGCTACCGATGGGCGAGCGAGCCGGCGTCAGCTGCGAGCCGGCGCTGCCGTCGGCCGCGGGCTGCCGCTCCGGTGAGCTGGACCGCGCCACGTCCGCCGCGATCGTCGTGTCGCCCAGATCACCTGCCGCACGCGGAGCCGGCGGTCAGCGGACGGACGGACGGATGGACGGACGGACGGACGGATGTATGGACGGACAGATGGACGGACGGACAAACGGACGATACTGCTACTGGGGACAATGACCGTTATCACTCTTGGCATGTGCTGTGTGTAAATGGGTCCAGTGTTTTATCGTTTGCTTGTCCATTGTGTATTAAGAAATGGAACGTTGAACCCATTCTCCGTGAGTAGAATCTCCCTGACCTCGAGTATCCATCTTAGATAAACCATGGGGTAATCGTAGGTAGCACACACCTATTCACTTATTTACTCCTGAACCGAGAAGGGCCCGACCGCCGCCACATCATTTTTTTTGTTCTGAGGATTTGAAGATGACTGAAACAGACCCTGGAAGAGCTCGACTTAGCTCAGTGGACATGGAGGTCACTGACCGAGAAACATCCTGCGGACGATGGTGCGCCGGTACCAGGCCTTGGGGAAAGCCAGGATCTCCGTCAGGCGCCGCATGTCGTACTTGAAAGACGCCGAGCCCAGGTCGATCACGGCTGTCGGCAGACCGGCACGGCTCATCTCACGGGTCGAGGTCATGACTCAATGAGAAGCAGCAGCCGCGAGAGCATCGTAGTCCACATTCAGGGTGGCTTTGCACAGGCCACCACCACCACGGTCAACCGGGGTAGTGATATGCAGACGGTGCCCGAGCGATGCCCCAATGCCAGGGCTCACCGCGAGGTCATGCGATGTCGGGGATGATTGGCATTGTATCAATAAGTCCGGACGCACTCGCCTCGTTTCAGGCGTAACCAAAGGCGCACACAAAAAGGCAGGAAACACAGTGTCTGCGAATAACGGGCAGGACGCCGTCGATGCGTGAACAAACGCAGTCGTTTTGAAAGACAGCACAGAACCGCGGCCTGACACATCATGCAACTGCCATACGACAGGCTCAACTCCCTGGCAACTCACTCGAGAAGCGTACGATGGCCCTGCCGGCGTCCGTGCCGCTGCTGTCCAGGTCCAGCTTGCGCGAGCGCGACACGATAAACTGCACGAACTCGACCCGGACGCTGAGCGAGTCCTTGCGGTCGGTGTCGTTGAGCGGGCTGGTCACGTGGTCCTTGCCCGAGTACTTGTTGCCGTACGGGTGGAACACGTACAGCGAGAAGTCGGCCAGCACTCCGGTGACGCTGAGGCCGCCGGCGGGCGCGTCGGCCGGCTCGCGGGCCGAGCGGGCACCGCGCCGCCGCCCCGCCGCTGGCTCCCTGGCCGCCGGGGCAGCGGACGTCACTCACCGGCCAGACAGCGGTCACCCATCGACCAGACGGCAGTCACGCACCGGCCAGACGGCGGTCACCCATCGACCAGACGGCAGTCACTCACCGGCCAGACAGCGGTCACCCATCGACCAGACGGCGGTCACCCACCGGCCAGACGGCGGTCACCCACCGGCCAGACGGCGGTCACCCACCGGCCAGACGGCGGTCACCCACCGGCCAGACGGCGGTCACCCACCGGCCAGACGGGGTCACCCATCGGCCAGACAGCGGTCACCCACCGACCAGACGGTGGTCACCCGCCTCACACATTCAGAGAAAGACACCTTCCTACCATCTTACACATCGACATGAAGAACCAGACACTACAACGTGCCACCGGTCGCGTAGCGTTTCTGCCAAGGTCGACCCAATTAACAGCACCCACAGCACCTCAAAGCAGATAGGTTACCTCCCCCATCATCCACTCTACTTCGTTTTGACTCATCCCTACATCAGCGAACAGGCGCACACCGAAAGCCAACAACAGCGACCGTCTCAAACTAGGAGCATCTGGCGCGTCACGGCCGCTCGCGCCGACTCACGTGAGCTCCAGATCGGAGCGTTTGGAGGAGAACACCAGATCCAGGCTCGGCAGTCGTAGCAGACACTCCACCTTGGACACGGGCAGGCACGAGAAGCGAAACGTCGACGGCTGCATGTGGAAGAAGACGATGACGTCGACCGGGAAGGAGCCGGCGTAGCTGCCCGGCTGGGCGGCCAGCGGGTCGGCGTCCAGCGCTGCCCGAGGGAGGCGACGGAGGTCAACGGTCCGGTCACGAGCTACCGTACGGCGCTGACCAGACGCAACAGGACACAGCCGGTACGGGCACGCCGTGGTGCCGGTACTCACAGTGTGGCAAGGCATGGCCTATCCGTGGTGTTGGTACTCACAGTGTGGCAAGGCATGGCCTATCCGTGGTGTCGGTACTCACAGTGTGGCGAGGCATGATCTATCCGTGGTGTCGGTACTCACAGTGTGGCAAGGCATGGCCTATCCGTGGTGTCGGTACTCACAGTGTGGCAAGGCATGGCCTATCCGTGGTGTCGTCGCTCGCAGTGTGGCAAGACATGGCCTATCCGTGGTGTCGGCGCTCGCAGTGTGGCAGACATGCCCTAACCGTACACTGACAGGAAGGAGAGAGCACTGAATGCACAGCGCAAAGCATCCATATTGCGCTTCAACCGAAAGGAAGAAAGGATCAGCAGGCCAACAAAGGAGCCCAACTCTACAGCGCACGCACGGCTATCACTGCTAGGTGTTAAAGTACTGATCTCCCGAGTTTTTTGCGAGCATCCTATCTCATCCCAACCTCAAGGGAGATGCGTCATGGTGTGACCCACCGTCTGGTGGGCGATAGTACACCAAAGCTACCCTCGGGCAAGGTACAAGGGACACGCGGGGCCTACCCTCGGGCGAGAGGCAGCATACGGGACCTACCTTCGAGCTGGGGGGGGGGGGGGGGATACAATACGGGACCTACCCTCGAGCAAGGGGCACCACACGGGACCTACCCTCGGGCTGGAGGATACAATACGGGGCCTTCCCTCGGGCTGGAGGATACAATACGGGACCTTCCCTCGGGCTGGAGGATACAATACGGGACCTTCCCTCGGGCTGGAGGATACAATACGGGACCTTCCCTCGGGCTGGAGGATACAATACGGGGCCTTCCCTCGGGCTGGAGGATACAATACGGGACCTTCCCTCGGGCTGAAGGATACAATACGGACCTTCCCTCGGGCTGGAGGATACAATACGGGACCTTCCCTCAGGCTGGAGGATACAATACGGGACCTACCCTCGGGCTGGAGGATACAATACGGGACCTTCCCTCGGGCTGGAGGATACAATACGGGGCCTGCCCTCGGGCTGGAGGATACAATACGGACCTTCCCTCGGGCTGGAGGATACAATACGCGACCTTCCCTCAGGCTGGAGGATACAATACGGGACCTTCCCTCGGGCTGGAGGATACAATACGGACCTTCCCTCGGGCTGGAGGATACAATACGGGGCCTGCCCTCGGGCTGGAGGATACAATACGGACCTTCCCTCGGGCTGGAGGATACAATACGCGACCTTCCTTCAGGCTGGAGGATACAATACGGGACCTTCCCTCGGGCTGGAGGATACAATACGGGACCTACCCTCGGGCTGGAGGATACAATACGGACCTACCCTCGGGCTGGAGGATACAATACGGGACCTTCCCCTCGGGCTGAAGGATACAATACGGGACCTACCCCTCGGGCTGGAGGATACAATACGGACCTACCCTCGGGCTGGAGGATACAATACGGACCTACCCTCGGGCTGGAGGATACAATACGGGACCTTCCCTCGGGCTGAAGGATACAATACGGGACCTGCCCTCGGGCTGGAGGATACAATACGGGACCTTCCCTCGGGCTGGAGGATACAATACGGGACCTTCCCTCGGGCTGAACGATACAATACGGGACCTACCCTCGGGCGAGGGCGGCAGCACGCTGAGACCACGCGTCATCGGCAGCAGCTCGAACAGCTGGTCCAGGAAGTCGAGGATGTGCGGCGACACAACCGTCTCGGTCGGGATGCTCTGCAGCGTCACCCAGACGAACAGGCTGGCGCGCTTGGAGAGCGGCTGCCGACGGCCGGCCGCCGGGCCGCCGGCGCCGCCCGCTGGGGGCTGGGGCGAGAGCGGACTGAACGGCGGCTGGCGCAGCAGCGGCGTCGGCTCGCTCACCATCTTCGAGTCGTAGTGTAGCTGCGGGAACACGGTCCAAGGGTTACTGCTGAGTCGTGGTTCGCAAGTTTGTTCATGGCGTGACCGCGAGGGATCCACGCTCCTTGCGAAACATCCAGCCGGAGAACAGGTGGTTCGCAGCTGTCCTGAAGAAGTGAACCCATCGACGCATTGTCCAGATGACAATAAGTGCTTATCCAATATGCGTCCTGGTGCATGGTCGTGAAATGTGCAACAGCAACGCAGCAGCACCCAAAACGTGGCCGACATCCTTCGTTACGAGCAGAGCTCCCCAAGCACAATAAGTCACACTCTGAATCGGACAGAATTAGTCGGGATTTTCATCCATGCGGACGTCTGCCTTCGAACCACAAACACGGACACCCGCCCACCTGGCCAGCCACACCGCGGAGCCACCGGCGAGCCGGGCCTACCTTGACGTCCAGACCGGGTATGTGGAAGATGGTGAGGTCGGCGATGGAGGCCGACAGCGAGGGCGCCACCTTCTTCAGTCTGGTCATGGAGCTGCTGTGGAGCATGCCGCCGCGACGACGCGACGACGACGGCGTACTCTCGTCCGAGAAGCCAGAGTGTTGCCGACCCCGCCTGCTGGCGCGGACACGCTCTGTCAGGTGCGGCCACACTGGGGACCGGCACATGGCCCCGAGTGCTGCCGACCCCGCCTGCTGGCGCGGACACGCTCTGTCAGATGCGGCCACAATGGGCCCAGTACATGGCCCCGAGTGCTGCCGACCCCGCCTGCTGGCGCGGACACACTCTGTCAGGTGCGGCCACACTGGAACCCGGCACGCGGTCCCACACACGTGGCATACACTGCGGCGAGCAGACCAATATTGCGTCCCTCCCTGACACGGACCACATGCCGTCGCAAGTGTTTTTGCGGAGCGACTTCAATGCTTTGTGATGTGTAAATCTCTCGCCGCGGTACTTGACAGGCACGTGCCACATCCCAACGCCCGTGGACTGATCTAGTAGAATCCACAGCTTAGCCCAAATAGAGTTAGCCAGGACTGCACTTCACGCATAACAGCTACCAGCCCCAACGCATTACTGGCACGTGCCGTGGTCCACCACGCACGCTCTCGCATGCAAGGGATCGGGCTCGACATAGGACAGACACAGACCCCCCCCCCCCCATCGCCTCACCTTTGGCGTGCGAATAAGCACACAGCTCTGAAAAGCCAGCGACACAAATCGCATTTCCCCACATGCGCTCTTCGGCACGAAACCCACGAGCGCTGAAGTTAGACGCCCGCAAGCCAACCCAGCGGCCGTCCCCTATCCCCGGTGCCCTCGGCGCGTGCCGTGCCCGGCGGCCCGTCCGGCCGGCGTCGTCACCTCTTCGAGTCGCGGCCGACGTCGTCCGAGTCGGCTCGCAGGTGGGCGGGGTCGCGCGTGTGCAGCGCGCAGCGGCCCGAGCTCACGAACACCTTGACGTCCAGTTCGAAGTGGATGTTGGGCTCCACCGGCTGCTGTTTGGGCGTCGTGGGCGAGGCGGAGACGGAGGCGGCCGACTCCGGCCGACGCAGCTCCACGTCGTCTACCTCACTGGGGGGAGGGGGAGGGGCTGGTCAGGGGTCACACGTGAGACGACTCACGCTCCGCACAAACACACACGACACGGGCGCGTCTCCAGCGGCCTGCACTGAAGGCAGCCGCAGAGCCGGCGGCGCATGTCAGCCTCTGTCACGTCCCACCACCAGCCACCCTGACCGGGCCGCTGACCACCAGCCGCTCACCTGGGACTGATCGGCACGCTGTTGACCTCGACCTCGACCACGGGCGAGGGCGAGCCGCTGCTGGCGGCTGGGCTGCTGGGGCTGGCCGCGGCGCGAGGCGGCGGCGGCGGCGGTGGCCGGCGGCTCCACGGTCCCGGCTGGTCCGGCTCGTCCGACTCGTCGATGGATGCGTGTCGGCTGCCGGCCCGGCCACGCCCCGTCAGTGGCTGCCGCCGGCTGAGCCGCCTACCGGCCACGCGCTCACACCGCCGCCCACCGGGCACGCTTGAAGCGCATCGTCGTCTTCACACGTGAAGCGATTTGCCAGAGGCCAGGTGTTGTCGGATGCGTCACAAACAAAACAGAGACCTTGTCCTGAAGCGCTGCACTGGCAGCCAAGACTGCCTTATTGCATGATGCGTGACTAGATGCGTGAAAAGCCGGCCACAGCAGACGTTAAATTCGCAGAAGCGCCCCAAGACCACCATATGGTTAGCGTGTGGTGTTAACCCTTGAACACCACAATGTTCCAAGTGCCAACTGTGCAACGCAACACCGCCGCATGCATCAGCTGAGCCGTCCCCGACGAGAGGACATCAATTTGGCCACACACGTAGGGTCTGTCGGCATGGGATACCCCAAACCGATCAGTCAGAGTCCCCACTTTCTGGCATGAGACGCACACAAGCAGCCCATATTGTTCACAGCAACCAATGCCAGTTCAACAAGAGAGGCGTGGTGGCGCTCCCGATCTGCATGCACATAAATGTACTTTTGACGGATGTGGAAATTCTCATTGGGACTTACAAGACTGAACTCTAGTTACACACGGCCCTCTGTGGTTAAGGTGTAACCATTTCTAAGGTAAGGTGTACCCATTTCTAAGGTGCGATGTACCCATTTTTCGTGATCACGATTTCAAAGCTCAAGACGAACTCATCCGTTTTCGGGTGTGCTATGGACCGGAATTGTCAGTACTGAAAAGGCGTCATTTGCCAAAACGTAACGTCCGAAGTGGCGCGTCAGTAGCGGTGTGAATAAGGACTCCGCGCGGCGCAGAACTGTCCACCTCAAGGGATCGAGGCATCACGTATGCTATCAAACCCGAGTGTTAAACTTTCAAGTCAGGTATTGAATATTCACAGAGCATGACGGCGCTGGGTGCGAGATTCCCGTCAAAATACACTGTTTTTGCGCACGACAGAAGGTAGGTATGTATATATTGTGTAAGCGTGTATGTATGTATGTATTTAAGTATCTATGAATGTATTATGCATGTATGCATATACACACACCATATATATATATATATATATATATATATATATATATATATATATATATATATATATATATCATGCATACATGCATGTGTGTATACACGCACGCATGTACGTATGCATGTATGTATACACGCATGCGTGTGTGCGTTTATGTATGATTGCATGTACGTACGCATATATGCAAGTATCCAACTTTGATTGGCTCCGATCCCCGCCCCGGCCCTGCCCGACAGCAGTACTACTCGCCATCCCCTCCCTCCGCTGCCGTGCCGCCACCCAGTGTCTGACCTCAGCAGGACCTGGGTGTCGCTGAAGGTCACGCGCGGCGGCACCGGCTCGTCCCTCTCCAGCAGCACGCTCTCCTCGCTAGGAGAGCAGGGCGGCACCGGTCAGCCGGCCGGAGCCAGGCCAGGTGAGCTCAGCCGACCGGCTGGGCGTCACAGGCGGCCCGCCGTGCGCCCCTCGGACCGGCACACCGACCACCGCTACTTGGATACCTCAATGGCCTGGATATTCAGGTTATTGAGAAGTATTTCCGCTAGTTGCAGGATGCGTTGATGCTTGATCATCCGGGCTTTCGAGCATGAGACAACATGGTCATGTGCACCCCGGTTTGAGGGTCCAGCGCGCCGGTCCGCGGGGCCGGCAGAGACTGAGCGACGGCCGCCTCTGACGCCGGCCGGCCGCCGAGCCGCTCCAAACAAAACAGAAGCGCCGACACACCGGCGGCAAGCTCGTTAGTCAAACCAGGTCGGGTGCGCTTCTTAGTGCAGACGATCGGCCAGCGTGACGGGACAGCTTCAGCGGCTGATTAGCACCACAAGCCACACGGACGCCGCAGCAGCAAACCACAAGCCAGTCACACGTTAGGCCGGCGTTGCACTTGTAGCGCAAATGCGAGACGGCCACGCACACCAGAGAGACAGTGAGACGGCCACCGCACACCAGAGTGACGACCGCGCCAGATGCCAGCCTATGACAGCAGTCAGCAAGGGTTACCAGCTAGCTTGGCCGACATCGACAGATCGTGGTTGGTTGGACATCCTGGCTGGCCACCAATCGGATACGAACTCACGCGATTGGCTACCAACCGGCCAGCCAATGCCGCGACTGGCTGTCAGTCGGCCCGTCTGATCTGATTGGACGCGGACAGAACGCCTCGGCCATGATTGGCCGCGGGTGAACTCCACGCCGGCCGTGATTGGCCGCGGGAGGAGCGCCCGGCCGCGACCGGCGGCGCGTGTCGCCTGACCTGCTGGTCTGGTCGGCGGTGATACCGTCTCGCAGGTCGGCGGGCGTGTTCAGTGAGCGCGTGACACGGCGGCCGTGCACGGACCGGCTGCGGCCGGGCGGCGGTGCCGAGCCCTTGCTTGCCATCGTGCCGGCCCGGATGCTCTGGCGCCGCAGCCGCTTCATCATGTCCCGCCGGAAGTCCTGCGGCAGCGCCAGAGCCCGGTCAGCAGCGCCGTCGTGTCGGCAGCAACATGAGGCGGACAACTATGTGGTCAGACAGCCGCTAGGCATGCATGAAGGGCTGCTATCAGCAACGGAAGCGAGGAACGCAATCCGTATGATGATACTGAAGCTGGACAGGACATTTACAACAACCTCCTCAAACGAAGTCATGTTCGACGTTTTGATGCTTTTTTTGTCGAGTGACGTTGGGTTTGCTGTTTGCGGGAGGTTATGATGCATCCAAATCCATCGTCGAATAAAGTCAGCCGGTCGTCTCAAACAGCTTTACACCGACCGACAGTGACTCGCCTTAAACACCACCGACTCGAAGGCCTCCAGCTTGCGTGTCTCCTCCTCCAGGATCTTGCTGGAGGCGCCGTGCAGCATCAGGTTATGCACCACCTGTCGGCACGGCCACCGCCTCATAAACAGACGCCAGGCCAGGTCGCATGCTTAGCGAACCGAGTGACGCATGCATGCTAAGCAATGGAAGGGCCAAAGCTGCGCTCTGATAGCGCACATTTCAGCTGTGGTGGCCGGCAGCCGTGACTGACCAACAAATGACCAGCATTTTACAGCACAAGTGTGCAGAAACCCCAAACGCAACACAAGTCATGACATCATTGACGTACGATGGCGGCATGGCCTCCCAGCCACCACAACATGCTGGCGTACAAATAAGCCAGCCACAGTGCAGAGCGCGCTCCCGAATGACGAGCAGTCGGCAACGGCAGGTCCCTGCCACGCCAGTGACCCGCTCCAGGCGCTGGCCGCCCACCTTGGCCTGTTCGTTCATCCTGTTCTCCAGCAGCTTGGCGCGCTTGCGCGGGTCGCTGATGTCCAGCAGCAGGTCCGAGTGCAGGTGCTCCGTGGACGACACGGTGCGGCGACGGGTCAGCAAGGGCTGCTGCAGGTCACAGGTCAGGTCACGGGTCAGCAGACAGACGCACCGCTGTGTGGAGCGTGCGGTCAGCCGTAGACACACGGCGGTACATGGGAAGAGAGGTGGCGACTGGCCGCGACCGGACGTCAAGGGGATGTGAATCAAAAGCCGGTCATTCCGGCAGAGCGCTGGACAGCGTAGTACAAAGGCCCGATGTCGCCGGGGGAACATTGCCGGACGGGGCCCCCGACCAACGTCTCTGTAGGATGTCATAAGCACCTGAACATGCATCAGTACCAACCCCAACCCGGTGCGACATAACGCTAACGCGTCGTCTGCGGAACCTAACGGAAAAGAGCCGGCAGGAAACTCGCCAGCGATGGGCACAGCCGCTGGTTGTGTGCACTGGTTGGCCAGGGGCGCGCGGGAAGGTCAGCTGGCCACATTTAACCTGGACTGGTGGACAGACGTGACCCGAGTGCAGCCTACACCACCATACATTCCACACGGACCACAACTGAAATCTCGCATTTGCACTCGTTTCAAAGGACGCCGGGCTCGTGTCCTGGCGCCCCGCGCTCTTGAATACTTGCCGCCAATGCTTGTGAACGCCTTGGCGACCACGGTCACCGCCAAGGTCACCGCCAAGAACGCCAAGGTCACCGCCGCTGTTTGGCACAGCCCACAGCAAACCTGACTCACAAGATGACAGGCACCGCTGGAAGCAACTCTCGTCAGCGCCCCAATACCGATAACCGCAGACCAACTGTACTTTCTTACATAGGCTGGCCTGTCATCCACAAGCCTACAAACTGTCTTGAAATCCGGTGATCACGTCCCCCACAGCCCAGGTGATTAGCGAGCAAGAACACTGCAGACGCCGAGACCGAATCGCAGTGACGCGAACCACGACGACGCGGGCATGGGTGTGCCGACGCCGCAGCCGTGCGGTGACGCGGCACCCCCACACACGGACGGCGCGCGGCGGGCAGGGCGCGGGCCGGGGCGCACACCTGGCAGCTGACGGGCCCGTCCACCTCCGATATGTCGAGGCGGCCCTCCTCCTCCTCGTCGTCGACGTCGGTGAAGGTGGTGAGCGTGTTGGCCAGCGCCGACAGGTGCCGCCCGATGTTGATGTCGACGTTGATGTCGACGCCCTCCATCTGCCACGAGACGTTCAGCACCCACTTGGCGTTCTCTGGAGGCACGGCGCGGAACGGGGCGCGGTATTAGAGGCGCCCGGCGTCTGTGACGTGATGGTCCGGGGCCGTCCGGTTCGGTGTTCACGGCAACGGGAGATGAGGGTTGCCTTTAAGATTTGCCTTTGAAAGAGACGATCTGACTACAGCTGGCACAGGGTGAGCCAGTTAACAACATCCATACAACCGCGAGATAAAATAAAATGCTTTATTTTTAGAATGGAGTGAATGGCACGAAAGCTTTTAGCAACACACAGAGAACAAATTTGGTGTAGGCAGCACCATCCAGTTTAATGGTGCAAAGAATGTCTCTGCTTCTGTCGTCATAAAAATGCTTCCTGCAGATGGGATGGACACAGCCCACCAGTAGAATTTCTGGTCTGCAGCACCTGAGTTCACGTCCGGTATCTACACCTCGCCTCACACCACGTTTCATGATTTCTTCTGGTGCCCACCACGGGCCTGACCTCGAGCGTGACCTGCCAGGTCACCCTGCACTGACCTGCGGCCAGGTTGATGCCGACTGTGCGACTGCACACCTCGTACGTGCCCTCCGAGACGACGCACAGGTTCATGATGGCCGGGTCTGTCGTGTCTGGGGCGAGGCGGAGAGGGGTCAGCTGGACACGGCCCGGCAGACAGCGCTCTCCACCAGATGGGCACAGAACGGCCGCCAAACACTGCGGACCACTGCGCTCCCGGCTGGGTGGGCACAGGATGGCCTCCAAGCACTGCGGCCACGGCGCTGAGCGCCGCTCTATCGTCCGCGCGGCTGCTGCCGCCGCTGCTGCAGGGCTCGGCGCCGTCGCCTGGTGCTGGGCACGCCACTGCGGCCATGGCGCTGAGCGCCGCTCTAGCGTCCGCGCGGCTGCTGCCGCCGCTGCTGCGGGGCTCGGCGCCGTCGCCTGGTGCTCGGCACGCCACTGCGGCCATGGCGCTGAGCGCCGCTCTATCGTCCGCCGCTGCTGCCGCCGCCGCTGCTGCAGGGCTCGGCGCCGTCGCCTGGTGCTCGGCACGCCACTGCGGCCATGGCGCTGAGCGCCGCTCTATCGTCCGCCGCTGCTGCCGCCGCCGCTGCTGCAGGGCTCGGCGCCGTCGCCTGGTGCTCGGCACGCCACGCTGGCCATGGCGCTGAGCGCCGCTCTATCGTCCGCCGCTGCTGCTGCCGCCGCTGCTGCGGGGGCTCGGCGCCGTCGCCTGGTGTCGGCACGCAACTTGCTTGGCCATGGCGCTGAGTGCCGCTCATACGCCCGCCGCTGCTGCCGCCGCCGCTGCTGGCAGGGCTCGGCGCCCGATCCGCCTGGTGCTCGGGCACGCCCTCTGCGGCCTGCATCCCCGGATCGCGTTTGCGACGGGGGCGTAATGGGTAGCGGCAGTGGGTCACGCATCGAGAGCAGCTGAGCCGGACGACCGGTCGGGATGGTGCCGTTATGTCTACAAAATATCAGCACGCTTCGCGGCTAGGTGTAAGTCACGGCATGGGAAAGGCGGGTCACGCGGGATGGACAGGGCGGTCACTGGACAGAGGTAGACCCAAGGGACAGCACTCCATGTGGCACGAGCTCTCAGAAGCTTTCACCACAAGTGTCCACATTCTTCCAAATGCTTCTCTCCAAACTGCATCCATCAAGCACGCAATGATACCACCCAACAAAACCGTACCCAAGCACTTGCATCGTGTACACAATATGTTCTACAGCACAAATATACAATGACACATAATATGCCATCTGACAGCCTATAAGATAAAATCATCGCAACGCAACAACAGAAAATGTCAATCATCATTAACCTCCGAAGTCAGTATAGCCAAACATTTGGGGTTGGGCATGTTAAACAAATATAACAACGAAAGATAAATTCAAGCCAAAAATAGCTTACTATTCACAAATTGCAGCTAGTTACTAGCCCATGCGTTCACCAGGATTAATCAGCAAAACTGACTCGCAGCTCGGCAGAACAGGGGCGTAGTTTCACGAAATGAGCTCGGGGGAGGGGGCTGAACGGTGAACAATTCTCGAATCTATCCCCAAAATATGCTAACATACAGATGTCTCCCCACCCAAAGCTGGGGGAGCTGGCACCCAAGTAGAGGGAGAGCTGAGGCCCCTCCCCAACTGAAAAGGAAACTGAACCCCTGAGACAGACAGTCCTTACCCTATGAAATCATACAAAAGATACCAGATTGCGCCAATCCGTGACAGACAACGGTTACCCCGCGAGTGGCGGCTGCGGCAACAGCCGCCAGTCGATGGCTCCCGCGCCCAAAACTAACGCGCGAGCCGCACAGGCACGGTGCACGCAACCAAACATAAAGAAGCGACATGTCAAACACCAAAAACAGGCGGCATATGGGAGTAGGTGAGACAAGGAAATGTGAGATAAGGAACGTCACGGGGTGGGGTGGATTGGAAACGGAACGGAGATAAGAAACGACAGAGGGGACGGAAACTATACCAGGACAACTACAACTAGAGGGGGAGTGTGGCGGAGCGAACGGTGCCAGATGCGGCAAAGTGTGGGAGGTGGTCACAGGGGACGAGCAGTGCCAAGGACAAACAGAGAGGGAGAAAAGGGTCAGCTCAAAATTTGGCACTACAAATAGAGGCGGTGCGGCAGCAACATGTAACAATGCACACACTGTGGCCGAGTATGGGAGTCGATACGTACCGGACTGCGGCGGCTGATACAGACCCTCTGTAAACCAGGCGCACAAAGTGATTCACTGGCCCGCCGTCAGACACTGGCACGCAAGGACAGTCACCAAGCGTCACGATCACCACAGAAAGACATACGACCTCGAGCATCGGCGGCCACGAAACAAACAGCATGGTTACGAGAAGAAAACAACCCCAACAGACATGATACGCCGCTGTCAACGTGGGGAGACGCCAGGAATCACCGGTTACGGCAAATAGGCAGTAACATTGGCAACACCAGCGATCACGGTATCCCGACACATCACTGCTGGCTGCCATCGTCACCGGAGACACCGCCAGACAGACATCACGGCTGGCCGTCATCGTCACCGGAGACACCGCCAGACAGACATCACGGCTGGCCGTCATCGTCACCGGAGACACCACCAGACAGACATCACGGCTGGCTGCCACCGTCACCGGAGACACCACCAGACAGACATCACGGCTGGCCGCCACCGTCACCGGAGACACCGCCAGACAGACATCACGGCTGGCCGTCATCGTCACCGGAGACACCATCAGACAGACGTCACGGCTGGCCGTCATCGTCACCGGAGACACCACCAGACAGACATCACGGCCGGCCGTCATCGTCACCGGAGACACCGCCAGACAGACGTCACGGCTGGCCGTCATCGTCACCGGAGACAACACCACGGCGCGCGCCGCCCTCGCCCACCACGTACCGGGCTTCCAGTCGTCCAGGCTGGTTTCGAAGTCCTGCGCGAACCGCAGACAGAAGCCGGTGAAGCGTCCGCTGCAGATGAGCGAGTCGCACGTCATGGCCGACACGGCCGTCTCCTCCAGCGTGATGACGAGCGCGTCGCGCGAGTCGGCGTCCGTCACCATCTGGCCGGGGCCCGTCTGGGGGGAAGGGCCGGAGCCGTCACGTCACCCGCTGCGGTGCGTCCGGCCACACGGCCCGGCGCCAGCCACCCAGCCCAACCTCGGGACAGCAGCCCGACGGCGACGAAACGCCACGGCGCGCGAGGGAGCGCTGGTCTCGGCCCGGCGCTGGAGCGAGCCCGCAACAGACGAGGGCGCGCCTGGTCTTACCAGTGCCGGGTTCGAGGAAATCATTCCAGAAAATATACGTGATCTTTAATACAGACGCTCCGTTCCAATCTATCACAGATCCACTTCTGTCACGGGATGCGCACTTCTCCTAGAACCGGAGAAGGCCGACCAGCTGAGAACGAACGATTGGAGCGGACCGGATCGACACCGCGAACCGCGCCACGGCGGCACCTGAGACGCGGCGCGTGACAGTGCAGCGCCGGCGCCGGACTGACCGGCGAGTGCGTGTTGATGGGCAGGCAGATGCCCAGGTCGTCCACGGTGACCTGAAGGAACAGCGTCGAGCGCAGCGTGGTCACGTTGATGTGGCTGATGTGCGGCACCTTGTCGAGCACCTGCCGGGGGAAGCGGCGTCAGCCGGCGGCGCAGGAGGTGACGGGGTGCAGATGTGACGGCCATCGGAGCCACCGGCGAGCTGCTCCATCGCTGGCCTGTCCCCTGTCTGGGCCGCAAGGCGTCGCCACCCAGCCTGACACCGATTATGTCATTAAAGCCTTCTTTTTACAAACGCGCTAATATGCCCATTATGAGCGTCGCCACACCCGGGGGCAGCCGAAGCGAGTAAGAACTCCCGCGACGGGAACTGAACTGGGACCACCCGGCTCAGAGCCCCACGCCGTGACCACTCGGCCATCCGCGGTCGCCGTCAGCCGCTCACCTGCTGGGTGGCCGTCAGCACCTCCTTGTTGAGCGTGCGCCGCTGCTCGCTCCAGTAGTCGTACGCGTTGCGGTAGTTGAGCCAGACGAGGATGGCCTTGTCGACGGCCATGGGCTGCACGTACACGAGCGGGCGGCGCAGAGCGATGCGCACCACCTCCTTGTCCGGCTCGGACGCCGCCACCGGGCCGCCGTCGTGGAACGTGTTGCTCAGGCCTGGCGGAGGGCCCGAGCTACGGTCACCATCCGCAGGTTCCTCATTGACGCTTGTCGACAACTAGGCACCAGTCATTGGATACCAGCTGCTGCGCAGGATGTCATACACCTCTGGCCAATCCGGCAAGGTACGGTTCTCGTCATGGCCGTTACAGGTCTAGCTCCAGGCAGAGGGGGCGCGTTTAAAGGTCCGGCTCTGAGCAGAGCGGGTGCGGCTTAAGGTCTAGCCCCGAACAGGGCGGGTGAGGCTTAAGGTCTAGCTGCGAGCAGAGCGGGTGCGGCTTAAGGTCTAGCCCTGAGCAGGGCGGGTGCTGCCTGCCGAGTTGGAGGCGAGCGTGCGTTAACCGCTGCCGTCCGCGCGTGAAGACGACGACCGGCAGCGCCTGACCGATCTCAACAACAGACGATCTGTGTTGACGCGACTGATTAATCGAAGACATTGAACACAGTTCCTCCAGCGATCACGGCACAACCGCCTGAGTGTGACCTCCGCACCTCGGAAGCGGATACACATGACGTTACAAATGCCTGCAAAACCGCAAGAGGAGCACAGCTGTGGCGGCTGTCGCACCGCCCACATGGCACCTACGCGGACCGTTACCTATTTTCGTCTTGAAGTAGGCGTACTGGTGGAACTCGGCGTCGGCCTCCTCGAACACGACGTTTCGGATGACCTGGCCCAGGCTGACGTTGACGCGCAGCTCGGCGCGCCCGTACAGCCGGGAGAGCGGCACCGTCCGGCACTGGTCGGCGCCCACCCGCTGGTACCTGGTCAACACGCCAAACCGTGAGCTCGGGCGACACGCACGCTCCTCAGTGGCCATCGGCCGCACGCACGACACGGCGTCGCGGGCCGCCGCTCTGTGAGCCCCGGCCTGCAGTCTGACCCCTGAGCCGCAGTCTGACCTGCCTGCAGTCTGACCCCTGAGCCGCAGTCTGACCTGCCTGCGGTCTGACCCCTGAGCCGCAGTCTGACCTGCCTGCGGTCTGACCCCTGAGCCGCAGTCTGACCTGCCTGCGGTCTGACCCCTGAGCCACAGTCTGACCTGCCTGCGGTCTGACCCCTGAGCCACAGTCTGACCTGCCTGCAGTCTGACCCCCTGAGCCGCAGTCAGTGCCGCCTGCGGTCTGACCTGTTGCTGAGCTGCAGCTCCGTCAGCCCCGTCTCCAGGCGGACGGCGTAGTTGGTGGGCGTGGTGGCCGTGATCTGTATGCCGCGGAAGGTGAGCCGCAGGCTGTACAGCACCGGCCGCTTGGAGGGCGCCGCCGGCCGCTCTGCCGCCTCCTCCTCGCCCAGCAGCGACGACTTGAACTTGTCCAGGCCGGCCATCTTCTGCACCACGTCGTTCACCTCCTGGTGGCGATGCAGACGGGCGGCTGGGTGGGGCGCACAGACGCAGGGGGGCCGCTGGGATCCAGATACCTTGCCCGGCGGCTGACGGGCCAAGTCTCTAGCCAGGCCACAAGCAAGCGTGTCCCTAGCCCGGCCACCGGACGTCTCACCTGGTACTCAGGTACAGCGCTGCCGCAAGGCACCGCCACTTGCTGACACTTTTCGTGGCGGGTGAAGCCACGGTGCATGCTTGGCATTTAGAGGGTTGGTCACGTATTTCTCAATCGAACGGGATCTCTTATGCGCTCATAATTAAAAGATCGCCGCAATTGCGCACTTTGTATTATGTCATGCTTGTCAGCAAAACAAAGACGTAATTAATGCAGCGTGGAGGGCGTCTTTGTGGGAAGCTGTTCCAGTACTGCGCACGACGAAATTGCCAGTGCCTTGCGTGGTTTGTTCCGAATGGGCACGACGCAAAACACCGTGAATGCTGGACGCATTAATTCTGACACACTGGTTTAAATCAACTTGAATTTGCATGCAAGGTCAACTCAGAAGACTAGCATCTTCACAACACCTTGTTCATATCCAAAGCCTGACAGCCTTTATCTGCCCTTCCACACATGCCCCCCGTACCCGTACAAGCCCGCAGTACGACAGCTGGCTTCTCCTCCCCCGTTGGCTCGCCCCATCCGCACTTACCATCATGAAGACCTTCTGGACGAAGACCAGGTGGTTGAGCAGGTCGGTGGAGAGCGTGTGCTCCAGGGCGCCGATCTCGGCCTCCGTGCTGAAGTAGCTGCCCGGACAGACCTCCACGCCGTCCGGCACCGGCGCCGGCTCCGCCTCCTGCTGCATGTAGTCCGCCGATATGTGCACCTGCCGGGTCACAGCCGGGTCACAGGTCAGGACAGGTCACCGCCGGCTCCGCCACCTGCTGCATACAGTCCGCCGATATGTGCACCTGCCGGGGTCACAGCCGGGTCACAGGTCAGGACAGGTCACCGCCGGCTCCGCCTCCTGCTGCATGCAGTCCGCCGATATGTGCACCTGCCGGGGTCACAGCCGGGTCACAGGTCAGGACAGGTCACCGCCGGCTCTGCCTCCTGCTGCATGTAGTCCACTGATGTGTGCACCTGCCGGGTCACAGCCGGGTAACAGGTAAGGACAGGTTACCGCCGGCTCTGCCACCTGCTGCATGCAGTCCGCCGATATGTGCACCTGCCGGGTCACAGCCGGGTAACAGGTCAGGACAGATCACCGCCGGCTCCGCCTCCTGCTGCATGCAGTCCGCCGATATGTGCACCTGCCGGGGTCACAGCCGGGTCACAGGTCAGGACAGGTCACCGCCGGCTCTGCCTCCTGCTGCATGTAGTCCACTGATGTGTGCACCTGCCGGGTCACAGCCGGGTAACAGGTAAGGACAGGTCACCGCCGGCTCTGCCACCTGCTGCATGCAGTCCGCCGATATGTGCACCTGCCGGGGTCACAGCCGGGTCACAGGTCAAGACAGGTCGCTCGGCTCCACCTCCTGCTGCATGAGTCCACTGATGTGTGCACGGGTCAGGTCTGGAAAGGAGTTCTAGTGAGGCACCAGCGTCCATCAGGGTACTACTGATCAAGCAACGGCAGCGTGGAATAACCTCACCGCCGGGAGACCTTTGATAAGTGTACAACCGCACGGCTTCCTTGCCGTCGATCCAACAGCGCCTTCCAATCAAACAGCAGCCTGCTGCGCGACAGTCTCCCGCCCCGCGAGGTCGATCCAACAGCGCCTTCCAATCAAACAGCAGCCTGCTGCGCGACAGTCCCCCCGACCCGCGAGGTCGATCCAACAGCGCCTTCTAATCAAACAGCAGCCTGCTGTGCGACAGTCCCCCGACCCGCGAGGTCGATTTCCAGCCGGCAGCGACGAACACGCCAGCGCGCACTGCCGCCGCGGCCGTCACAGGAGGCCTCACCCAGGAGACGAGCGGCCACTGACCTGCGGCAGCGCCACGGAGGCGGACGACGGCAGGTTCTGCGCCTCCACCACCTTGGTGCGGAAGCTGAGGTCGTGCCGCGCCAGGTCGATGGTGAACTTGGCCTGCGGGCCGGTGACGCCCATGCTGGTGACCGTGTCCATCTTGTACTGGGCCTGCAGCGACGGCAGCAGCGCCGCCGTGATCGAGAGGCTCTGCCGGCGGATGGCGACGGCCGGTCACCGCGGCGCCGGGCGCGCCCAGCGCAGCCACAGCCACAACGGCCTGTCAACACGCCATCCGTGGACGGAGACTGATGGTGCGTCATGGGAGAGGCTCTGCGGCGGGGACGAGAGGGCTGGTCTGCCGCGCCGAGGCACCTTGCCTGGGTGACGGCGCGGAGTGTTTAGGTGCGCGAGGAGGAGGCGTTAATTATGTGATGTGTTGTACTGAAATGGGCCTTGTCGACACAGACGAGGCCACCTTGCAATAGTACCGCACTGCACGCTCGGACAGCTACACCCACTGCGTCGGAGAGCCATCCGTGGGCGGTGAGCGTGCGCTGACACGTGCGCTGATGACGACACGAAACATGGGTAACGGCTCCGCAGGCAGAGTGCGGAGAGCGGGTCCTGTACGGGCGGGTCTGACGAGGCATGACCACACCCGCACGCACGCACGCACTTGAAACCACACACTCAAGTACATGGGGTGTAGTTGGGGGAGCATGTCTGGAAAAGGGAGCCGTGGCCGCTGACGCCCCCCGGCGCGGCCGGACGGCACCTGGCCGGGCCGCCGGCCCACCTGCAGCACGACGCTGAAGTGCACCGCCAGCGGGTGGATGAGCCGCTCGGCGGGCGCCGGCTCCTCGCTGGCGTCGCGCGCCGCCCGCTCCCGGTGCCGGCCCAGCTGCGACGGCGGCGTGTCCAGGTCCTCGATGGTGAACGTGCTGGCCCGCACCAGGCGGCCCGACCGGCTGTGACGCAGCTCCTGCACGGCGCGGGCAGGCGGCGCCGGTCACGCGGAGGGTGGAGACGGCGCCGACACGGGCGGCGGGATAGGCGGAGTAGGTAGGCTGGCGTAAAGGGGGACCGAGGGACGTAACTCCGCTGCTAAGGACAAACATGGCGAAGTGCTAGGTGGCAAAACGTGTTTCTAGGAAAGCTGAAGCTAATCGTCCTCGTGGTCACTGCAATGGATAAATAAATGCATGTCTTAACTTCGTCGATTAGAGGTCTGAACTCGGGACATTAATAAGGTCAAGTCACCGCATAGAACGACTTTCCCTTACCATTACAGCCTGTTAACAGAAAAAGGCAAACACCGAGCTGAGCAACAAAATACGCCACGTCACGATAAACTGAAGCTTTCAGGATAAAAGCGCTAGTGAATCTCACACCAGCCAAGAACGCTGTACCGGCCGTGTGCCCACGTAACTCGGTGACTCCTTTGCAGTACACCTCTCACCTGCCACCGACCTTGAGAGCGTCAGGGAGGTCATCCTGACCTTGAGCGCGCTATGGAGGCAGCCCTGACCTTGAGTGTGCTGGAGAGGTGGACCTGACCTTGAGCGTGCTGGAGAGGCGAGCCTGACCTTGAGCATGCTGGAGAGGTGGGCCTGACCTTGAGCGTGTTGGAGAGGTGACCCTGATATTGAGCGTGCTGGAGAGGTGGGCCTGACCTTGAGCGTGCTGGGGAGGTGGGTCTGACCCTGAGCGTGCTGGAGAGGTGAGCCTGACCTTGAGCGTGCTGGAGAGGTGGGCCTGACCTTGAGCGTGCTGGAAAGGTGAGCCTGACCTTGAGCGTGCTGGAGATGGTGAGCCTGACCTTGAGCGTGTTTGGAGAGGTGACCCTGATATTGAGCGTGCTGGAGAGGTGGGCCTGACCTTGAGCGTTGCTGGAAAGGTGAGCCTGACCTTGAGCGTGCTGGAGATGTGAAGCCTGACCTTGAACGTGCTGGAGAGGTGAGCCTGTACCTTGAGCGTGCTGGAGAGGGTGAGCCTGACCTTGAGTGTGCTGGAGAGGTTGGGCGCTCTGCTGCGCGTCACCATGCCGTCAGCGCCACCGGGTGCTGCGGGATGTCGATGGTGATGGTGCCGATGGTCACCAGAGCTGAATGCGCTCGCGCCAGGCGCCGGTTCTGCGCCTCGGTTGAGTACAGACATTGCGACTGCCCATCGTCATGGCCTGACCAACCGTCCTGACAGGGAGCGCGTTCACTGGTTAGAGGCTGCAGAATGTGACACTCTGTCCGCAACTATCGCTATCGTCAGCAAGGCCGATGGTGCCGAGCTTGCATAGCGGACCCTGAAAAGCTATGAGACGAATCCCGCGCTGGTCATCTGCAAGTGACCTTTGGAAGTCAATATTTTCACGCCACAAAAAAACACCATCGAGCGGACTATGCAACGCGCGTATGTCGGAGGCCTGCCATAAGATAGGCCACCGAAGTTCAGTAGAACACCGCCGGCCAGATCCTCAATACCAACAGAAATAACCGACAGCTCCTGATACAGCAGTCTGACCGGGTGACAGCATTCCGCGGCCCCTCAGCCCTACCAGCCTGTCCCGCAGGTACGGCCCCTCATATGTTGCCGCCACCACCTACTCGACGGAATCAGGCTCAAAAATCATATCCCTAGTTTATGCACGGAAAGTTGCGGCGTCTCATATTGATTCATATGAGCATCATTCTTTTTGTGGCCCTTTACCTTCCACGCGTCAATATTCCACATATTTTAGCGTCAGAATGGGTGTTGCGAAAGCCTCATGCCGCAAGGCACCACTGACTTCGCAATACTACACCATTCGGTCAAACTGAATACGCTACGTACGCTGTGGAGCAGTCCGCTGAACACCAAAATGCAGAAGTGTGGGTAATCCATCATTCTGCATCTGTTTACAGCTGAAACGCTTCCCCGAAAACACAACTGACACAGTCCAAAACGGGTTATAAATGTTTGTTTTTACTGGTCCCAATTTCTGCGCAGCTCGGCGGCGCCCGGCCCGGCGGGTACTGCACTGGGAGGCGCGCGGCAGCTGCTTCCTGCAGCGCCACCTGGACGCGTCCATTCAGGTGCCTGTGAGCGAGGTCTGGTGGCCGCGCCGGCCGGCCCTGCTGTATTGGCGGCCGCTGATCGAGGCCTGCACCTCGCGCACCTCCGCCTCCACCGCAGCCACTCAGAGACGCCTCCACCACGTGCGCCGCACCTTGGCCACGCCGAACAGCAGCAGCGGCGTCAGCTCGCGGCTCGAGAGGCCTGCCGGACGGCGCGGAGCGCGGCGCCGAGTCAGGGTCACACGGCTCCGTGACCGGGCTCGGACGGGCGCAGCAGCGACGCCGGATCGTCGTGACGCGGGGGCCGACGACGCCACGGGCCGGATGTGCTACGCCACGGGACACACGGGAAGCCCACGGGCAAAGTACATGCCTACGTGGTAGATGTGAGACGGAGCATCATGATTGGGGGGAAAAATATGCAAAATGGAGTCAGTGATGTTTTCCAGGTTGATAGCATATTGCTGTTGGTACTTTAGACAGATACAGTTCAAAAGACAGGCACCGAAAAGCCGTCCGAAGGAGTTTGCCAACACAGTTACATGAAAAGTCAGCCTAGTAATGCATGCTGACTTGGCGTCGTAACATGATCGAGCAAACAGCAAACAAAAACATTACACAGTTTGCAATATTTACTGCACAATCCCACTTCCACAGCTTTAAAACAACCCAAACCACCTCGGCCCCCGCGCTCCGGCCCCCTGCCTTCGACCCCGTCCCCGCCCCCGTCCGTCCCCGTCCCGTCCCCTGTCCCCGTCCCCGTGGCTTCGCTCCTGCTCCTGCTCCTGCTCCTGCTCCTGCTCTGCTCCTGC